TTCTTTTTGGTATTATTTTCCTTCCATTTGAAGAACTTCCTTTATCTATTTTTTTAGAGCAGGCTTGCTGGCAACAAATTTTCTTGGTTATTCCTTGAGAATGTCTTTATTTAACCTTCATTCCTGAAAGATATTTTCACTGTGTATAGAATTTTGACAGTTCTTTTCTTTCAGATCTTGAAAAATATTGTTCCACTGCCTTCCATCCCGCATGTTTTCTGATGAGAAATCTGCCGTCATTGAAATCATTCTTTGTGTGCAGTGGAAACCTTGGCTGGTTTCAGCAGTTTTCCTTTTTGTGTTTAGTTTTCAACAGATGAGTTTAAATGCATTTTATTTTTAGACAACCTCCACAACATGTTTTTCTTAAAAACAATTCCTCCACTCCAAATATATCAAAGTTGAGATAAATGAAGAATTTAAGAAACCATCAGTTCCATTTGTCCTAGTTGTGGTGTGTGGATGAAAAGCAGCAGCCAGTTATGATGACAGGTGATAGATCCAAATTGCCAAATTTCTTAACATTTTTCCATTTCTAAACCACCCTTAAAGAAAATCACATATGGGGTCACACCATCCTCATGGTAGTCCAGCAGGGCAACCATGACGTCTGGATTCATGTTTTCACCACTAAAGAACAGATAGTTTTTGAAATTAGCAAGGATATGCTTGATTTGTTCTGTAGCCCTTGTCATAAAAGACTTTACTCTTTCTGGTCTCAGTTCTTCAATTTTCCCTTTGATTGATTTCATATCACCTTTGATGTATTTCCTGTAGGCTTCTTTTGTGAAGCTATTTTCCTGCCAGTGATGGTTCAGGACAATATCGACATAAGTGATTCCTGCATATTTGGTACCTTTGCCCTGGGCATGGAGGCATTTCCACCAATGAGCGAGTCATAGTGTTGCCCTCTGTTCTACCTCCAGGCACAGTCCATCTCCGATCTCCTGGATCTTGTAGGTGAAGAACCTATTGTGGCTGATGAGGTCCTGTAGATGATCATGAAGGTGGCTGGAAGGAGACAACGGTGGCACTGGCTTAGCAGAAGTCCAGAGCTCAGAGGGAGCACAGTGCAGCCCAAGCTGCTGGCAGGGGCAGCCATCAGAAAAGCTTCAGCAGTTTGACTATGATGTGTCCAGGCATAGATTTCTTTGAGTTTATTCTGCTTGGGGTTTGCTGAACTTCTTGAATCTGCAGATTTGTGTCTTTTTGTCATTTGGGGGAGTTTGCAGCCATTATTTCTTTTTTTTTTTTTTAAGAAAGATTTTATTCATTTATTTGTAGAGAGAGGGAAGGGAGGGAGAAATAGAGGGAGAGAGAAATCAGTGTGTGGTTGCCTCTCATGTAACCCTCACCGGGGACCTGGCCTGCAACCCAGGCATGTGTCCTGACTGGGAATCGAACCAGTGACTGTTTGGTTTGCAGGCCAATGCTCAATCCACTTAGCCATAGTAGCCAGGGCTCAGCCATTATTCCTTGAAATATTTTTTCTGCATTACACTTTTTTCCTCTTGTCTTTCTGGGACTCTGATGACAGGAATGTTGGACATTTTAGTCTCACATTCTGTTGAGATTGGGTTCTTTCTTTTTTCTTAAATAAGTTAATATTTATTCCATTTTCTCTCACCCCCCTTCACTTGACTCGAGAAGCTGAATTTTCTGCGTCAGATTATTGCAATGTTTGACCTGAACTTATAAAAGAAACAAAATGAATATAATGTCATTAAAAAATAAAAACCTTAATCTCTGGTGGAGTAGAAATATAAACTGCCAGTTACTATGAAGATCTAATTTAATAATATACACGAAAGTTTACATTTACCCTCTAGGAGCCAACTGAAAGGACTGCCAGTGCCCAAATGGGAATGACTTCAGCAAGAGAATCAAGTAGTGTTGGATTATACACCAAAGTATAAAGTAAATATCCATGAGTCCTTACTGATATAAATAAAGAATTAAATAAAATAATAAATGAGGGAGAAGAGGCTAATCTTCCATGCAGAAGAGTTTCAAATAATTCATGTAGATACTCCATCCCGTTAGAATGGACTGCACAGATAGACTTCTTTCCAAAGGGTGCGTTACGGAAAAGGAAGCAGGGATGGCAACTTTATAGCAGAGAAACCTGACAAACACTACTTCAGTCAGTTGATTATACATGACAACATCAGTTGTCATAATGTTGATCATAAATGCCTTTGCTATAATATGATGGAAGGGGCACTTTATTTCTGTGATAGTCCTCTCCCAAACCTGTGACCCCATATGTCTAATCATGAGAAAATGTCAGATAAATTCCAGTAAGGGACATCCTACAATATTCCTGAACAGTATTTCTCAAAACTGTCAGGGACATCAAAACAAGGAGAAGACAGAAATTGTCACAGCCACGAGGAGCCTAAGGAGACATGACAATTAAATATAATCTTGTATCCTGGATGAGATCTTGGAAAAGGACATTAGGTGATAACTGTGGATTTCAGATAATAATAATGTATCAGTGTTGGTTTATTAAGCATAACAAATGTATTATAATAATGTGAGATGTTAATAATAAAGGAACCACAACCACAGAGATCGTTTGCCTCTCATATGCACCCTGGCCAGGACTGAACCTGTAACACAGGCATGTGTTCCAACTGGGAACTGAACTAGCGACCTTTCCCTTTGTGGGACCATGCCCAGCCAACTGAGCCACACTGGTCAGGGCCAAAGAGAGACTCTTAAAAGCAGCAAGAGCAAAGCAGTTAGTTACCAACAAGGGAGCTCCCATAAGACTTTCAGCTGACTTCTCAACATAAACTTTGCTGGCCATGAGGGATTGGCAAGAAATACTCGATGAAAAGTAAGGACCTAAAATAAAGATTACTCTAGTGAGCAGAGCTATTATATAGAATCAAAGGACAGGCAAAGAGATTTCCAGACGAAGAAAAACTAAAGGAGTTCATCCCCACCAAACCCGTATTAGGTGAGATGTTAAAGGGTTTTTTTAAGAAGAAAAAAAAAAGATTAAAAACATGAAAAATAAGATGGCAATAAATACATATCAACAATTAAATCTAAAAAAAAATAAATGAACAAGCAGAACAGAAACAGACTCATAAATAGAAGAGTTTGATGGTTGCCAGATGGGTGGGGGTTGGGGAGTTGGGTGAAAAAGATGAAAAGATTAAGAAGTAGCAATTGGTAGTTACAAACGAGTCACAGGAATGTAAAATGCACCATAAGGAATATAGACAATAATATTCTAGTAACTACATATGGTGTCAGATGGGCAGGAGATTTATCGGAATGATCACTTAGTAAGTTATATAATGTCTAATCACTGGGGTATACACGTGAAACTAATATGATATTTTATGCCAACTGTAACTGAAAAGTAAAAAAATTAAAAAAATAATGGGGGAAATTTTCAGGGGCATATGAGGGTTCTTTGTACTATCTTCTCAATTTTTCTGTAAATCTAAAACTGATATATAAATAAGGCCTATTTAAAAAGTGTCCCCCTCTTTTGCCATTGAGGGACATCTGTACATAGTGGTGAGTGCAGAGACTCTGCAGCCAGCTTGCTTGGGTTCAGATCCCCAGCTCTGTCACTCACTGTCTGAGGTTGGCAGCCTCCAAGGTGGCCTCAATGATCCCTGCCTCCTGGTAGTCATGCCCTGTGTAGCCCTGTCTACACTGAATAGTGCTGGCTTGTGTGACCAGTGGAATATTTTGGAGATGATCTTGTGCGATGTATGAAGCTAGGTCATAAAAAGACATTTTGGCTTCCTCATCGCTCTTCCTCTTGGATCACTTGCTCTGGGGAAAGCCAGCTGCCATACTGTGACGACACTCAAGCTCCCTTGTGGAGAGGTCCACATGGCGAGGAGCTGAGTCCTCCCCCTAACCACCACCAACCTGCCAGCCATGTGAGTGAGCTACCATGGAGGGGGCTCCTTTAGCCCCAGGCAGGTCTTCAGATGACAGCAGCCTCAGCTGACCTCTTGATTGTCACCTCATGAGAGATTCCCTGAGACCAAATCATGCAGCTAAGATGCTCCCTGGGGATTCCCAACACACAGAAACTGTGAACGATAATAAATATTTATTGCTTTAAACCTCTAAGTTTTAGGGCAATTTGCTTGATAGCAATAGATAACTAATGTGGTAACTCAGAGGTAGGCATTCTTCCCCCTCACCCCATAAAGCCCAGGTAATAAATATTCTTTATTTTCAGGTTGCATATAGTCATAGTCTTTGTTGCACATTCTTCTCCTTCTTCTTTTTAACCCTTTAAAAATGTGAAAAACAGCCCTGGCTGATGTGGTTCAGTGGATTGAGCGCTGGCATGCGAACCAAAGGGTCACCAGTTCAATTCCCAGTCAGGGCACAAGCCTGGGTTGTGGGCCAGGACCCCAGTAGGGAGTGCTTGAAAGGCAACCACACAGTGATGTTTCTCGCCCTCTATTTCTCCATCCCTTTCCCTCTCTACAAATAAATAAATACAATCTTAAAAAAATAAAAATGTAAAAAACATTCTTTGCTTGAGGGCTGTACAAAAACAGGTCAAGAGCCTACTTCCCTTCCTCCCCCTCTCCCTCCCTTTCTCCCTCCGTCCTTCCCTTCTTCCTTCCACTCATCTCTTTTTATCTCTCCCTCCTTTTTCCCCTCCTCCCTTCCTTGGGGTCAGTGTGTCCCTGGACCCACAAGGGCTGCTACCTTGACTTGGTAGGTCGCCCACTCCCACATTGATGAAACTCATCCATACCCCTCTGCCCCTTGTCTTGCTCCTCAGTTGCTTGGGGTTCCTGATCAAGCTTCCATCTGGACCAGGTGCAGGGTGGGCACTAAATTCACTCATCAATTTTTTCACTCATAATAATTTCAGAAGCATCTACTGTATATCAGCCCCCCTTCTGTAGGAACTGGGCATATTTGCAGTGAGCAGGACAGCCCTGCTCTTAAGGAGCTGACATTGTTAAGCAGGGGGAACACTCATTTAACAACCACACTAATAGATAGCACATATAATATATTTTTAAGTGTTATTGAGGAAATAAAACAGTAAGGAAAGAGAGAGTGATGGGAGGGGGTCTCTTTTAGCTAAATAATTAAAGCAAGTATATTTGAGGAGGTGACATTTAAACACCTCCTCCAAATAAGGGAAGGGTTCAAGTTATGCAGATATCTGGAAGAAAGGGGTACCTCCTGGAAGGGACTGTGAGTGCAAAGGTCCTGAGGTATGAGTTGGCTTGGGTGTTGAAAAGACACCCATGAGGCCAGTGTGATTGGAATGGGGTAGGAGAGAGGAAGGGAGCAGGTGCAGGCACTTCCTGGGTAGGCTGTGCAGGGCTCTGCCGAACGTCGGAACAGGAACAAATGGCTGGAGCTTGGGCGTGATGTTCCACACTCTTTATCTGGGGTTAAGCCCAGTGGCCTGGGCCTGCTTGGAGACAACCCGGAGAGCAGCAGAGGCCTCGGGGTCTCAGGACTTGCAGCCGTGGGTGCTCATGTATTCTGAAAATCCCTCCAGCTGGCCCAGTAATTCCTTCTTTTCCATGTCTCCACTTGCCGGCCAATGCATGAGGAAGGTCTCCTTGCCCAGGACATAGTAGTAACTGTGGCGAGGGAAGGAAAGAGTGTGAGGAGAGCCGGGTGCCCCCAGAGGCATGGAGACTTCCCTGCCTTCCCCTCTGCCCTGCTTGGCAGCCTCTCAGGGCCTCAGTCTATAGTGTCTGCTCCACAGAGCCATCTTGGATCCCCAAACCTCTAGTCCAGGCCTGCGGGCCTGAGGGAACAAAGCCCCCTCTGGCCCAGGATGGCTATGGATGCGGCCCAACACAACATTCTACGTTTACTTAAAACATTACGAGTTTTTTTTTGTTTTTGTTAGTTTTGGGTTATCTAATGTGTGGCCCAAGGTAACTCTTCTTTCAGTGTGGCCCAGAGATGCCCAAAGGTTGGACACCCCTGCATTAGTCCATTTATCGGGGGATTAAAAAAGGCTTCCCTTCTTCTGACTCTTTACTGCCCTCTGTTGGAAAACCAAATCTACAACGCCTCTGCACAAATGGCGCTCCCTCAAGTTGTGCAGTGCACAGCCTGCTCCTTCATTCAGAGCAGCTCCGAAACCCAGGTCTCCTGCTGCCAGGTGTGGTAGAGGTTTTGACACCAGGGGCTGGGCTATAGGAGGAAGGGGGCCCAGGCCTGAGCCCCCAGGGCAGCAGGGGGACCCCACGCACTCCAAGTTGACTCTCCACAGGTCTGATGTGTGGCCCATGATGAGGTATGACTCTTCTTCTTGCAGGTCCAGGGAGTTAAGGCAGGTGGCGTGGATGACAAACTTCTTCATGGCGCTCCGCAAGACAGCATCCGTGCCTGGAGGAGAGGAGACCCCGTGTGTGAGCGAGCATAGGCCTGGTCCTCCCCCACAGCAGGCCCCCCAGAGTAGGGACGCACACCACCTGGGACATACCACTCTTGATGACGGCTTGGAGCTGCATGTTGTAGAAGACATAGGGGTTGGAGGCGGAGGTCTCCACAGTCTTCAGTCTGGCCTTGTACACTGGGCAAGGGGCGCAGGAGGGCTTGTGTTGGCGTCTGGCCAGCGGGTGGGTCTCCTCCTGCCTCCTGCCATACCCGAAACTCACCGAAGTCCACGCCTGCCTCACAGGCCATCTCCTGGAGCTCCTCCTGCCTGAGCGCGTTGTTGTTCTCCCTCAGGGTCGGGCACAGTTCTGGAGGGCGAGGGGGCCAGCTGCTCTGGCTGCACCGAGGGAGGGGCTTCCTTCCCTCAGACCCCATCCAGCCCAGGTCTCTGGGTCTGGTCTTTCTCTAGCTTCTGTCTCTTTCTATCTTCCTACCTCACTGGGCTTCTCTCTGCCTACGCTCCGCGCATCCCGCGGACAAAAGGCTCCTGGGCCCCCAGCCTGGCAGCCCCGGCCCTCGTGTCCCCATGACCTCACCCTCGGCACATCTGCAGACTTCTCTGTGGCAGATCTTCCGCAGGTCGGATCGCTCTGTGGGCAGGTTGTAGAAGGAGCTGCACCTCCGAGCTGCGAGAGTGGGCACGTGCCTGGGTTTGGCTTGGGCCAGCGTCCCTGTGGGCCGGGTGCCCGCCTGGCTCCGCCCCCAGCCCGGCCTCAGTAGGTCCTTCCCCTTGGAAGGCCCCGCCCCTTCTTGCCAAGTCCATTCCCAGCAGGCCATACCCAGTCCTTTCTAGACTCCGTCCCAACCCCTTCCAGGCCCGCCCACCACTTTGACCGTCCAGGAAGGCCACGCTCACTCTCGCTATACCCGCTATACCCTTAGGCTCCGTTCAGCACCTTTCTTTCCCCTCACCCCCACGGTCAGGCCCTCCTCAGTCCCGCCCGATTTCCCCTTCCTTGCCTGGCTCCTCCGCCCTCCCTCTTGGCCCTGCCCGTCGCAGTCCTCTCCCCATCGCGGGACATACTTCCATCCCAGGTCCCCCCTGCTCACAAGGCTCGTAGTAGTCGTAGACCGTGACCTGGGCGGCCTGCAGGAACTCCGCCTGCAGCATCCTGTGGACCCGGAAGCCCAGCACTGTGTCTTCCTCGTGGGAGAGCTGGGGGAGGGAGCCCTGTCTGAGCCGACCAGGGCAACTGGCCAGGGGACACTGACCATAGGGCCTTAGTCATAACTGCTGACCACACACGCGGCCCTGACTACTGAGGTGCAGACCTTCGATGGCATGGCTTTCTGGTAACACCACCCAGGAGGACCTTGCTGACCAGGGGCTCTGCGCCCACTGGGCTGCCCACAAGCCTCTGGTGGACTCCCGGCCTTCCTCACCTTCTCCAGGTAGAGGACCACGGTGCTGTCGCTGGATTTCGTATTGGTCTCATACTGGAAAGCATACATCTCGATGTCGCTCGTGAGCTGGGGCACAGGGTGAGGTTTGCAGGTTAGCAGAGACCCCCCAAGGCCCACGGCCTTAGGAACTCTAGTCAATGTGAAGTAATTCTCAGAACTCCCCATCTTTGCCCAATCAACCCCAGTGCTGAGGAAACTGAGGCACAATCAGGCAAGGGGTGTGGCTAGGTTCAGGCAGGGAGACAACCAGAAGCGACCTTGGGGCACTGACAGGGGGTAGATTCTGCCGTGTGCCAACACTGGGAGTGTGGGGTGTGGCCGAGGCACCCCATCCTGCTCACAACAGCGGGCAGGTGGGACCTACCTTACCTGTTTGAGGTCATCATGGTTGGGGTAGAAGCCAGTGAGCAGGGAAACCTCCATGATGGTCATTGTGGCCTCTCGGTCACCCTGGAACCTGGGAATTTCAGAGCTCCAGCCTCTCTCCCTCCTGCCTACCCCGCCCCATGCTCCCACTGCCGTCAGCGCTCGCCTGGAGCAGTGCACCAGCCTCCTCCTGGGTATCCCCAACACTGCTCTGCCCCCCAAAGCACACAGCTTTAACAGACCGGAATCTGATATGTCATATCCTTGCTTAACAACCTTTACCAAATGCCTTGTCTCACTCTTCCACTTCAGCTTCTCCCACCCCAACCTCATTGGATTGCTCTTAACTGTCAGTCTCTCTCTCGCCACTGGACCTGTTCTCTCAGCCCGGAATCCTCGCTTCTCCCTCTTTGCCCTGAAACACTCTTTCATCTTTGCAATCCCAGCTGATGAATCACTCCCTGTGGTAAGTCTCGTCCAGTCCACACATTAGAGCATTCTTTAATTTTCTCTCCTGTAGCTTCTTGGACCTTTCCTTTGCCACATTTAATCACAGTTGTCACTTTACACTAATTCTGGGTGATTATTTCGTTATTGTCTGTCTCCCCTGACAAGCTGTGAACTCCATGAGGAAGGGAGGGGCTGCTCTGCTCACATCTGTGCTCCCAGCTCCTAGAACAGAGCCCAGCACTCAGTAGGCCCTCAGTACCTGTTTTTTTATCTGGGGCAGGCCTAGGGGGGCATTTGGGAGAGAGGGCAGAACTGGGCTGGGGTGTCTAGAGACAATGAAACATGAGGATGAGGAAGAGCCCAGGGGCTTGGAGCCAACTCTGGGTATCTGGGGCATGTTCACTGGGGTAGAGGCTGCCATCCCAGGACATGGCGGGATGGGGGCTGGATGGTAGACAACCACGGGAGGGCAGGAGAAGGGCAGAATGGGGCACAGGCAGGGGAGGGCAGGATGGGAGGTAAGATGAGGGGGCAGGCACGGAGGGGCAGGCTTACATGGTTCCCACCCTCCACTCAGTACACAGGGAGAGCTGCTAAGGAGTCTGGATAACAGGAAGTGAGGCCTTCCTCCTGTCCAGCCCAAGATCCTGGTGCCCTCACCTTGTTTCCATCCGGAGTTGGAAAGTCTCTTCCCCCTTTTTATTTTCTGCAGAGAGAAGCCAGAAGTTTAGAGGCTGGGCCAAACAGCCTCTGGAGCTAGCTTTCTAGGTTCAAATTCTGGCTCTGCTGTGTGACTTAGGGCAAGTTGCTTAACCTCTCTGTGTTTTGGTTTCCCAATCTGGAAATGGGATCATAATACACCCAAACCCACCACATTGTTGTAAGGATTAAGTGAGTTGATACAAGTAAAGCACTAAACACAGCATCTGATCAGTGCTTTATAATGGTATTATTATTATTATTATTATTATTATTATTATTATTATTATTACATGTCAAGAAATGGGGCTCAAACCAAAGCCGTGGTCACTTGTACTCCCTAAAAGTCCTGGGCCTGGGGAGATTTTTACTCCTACGCCTTCAGTGAGCTCCCAGTGGCAGTGTCCTCTATCCTCCTTCTTGGTTCCCCAGGCTGGGAATTCTAGAATCCCCCCATTTCTAACCAGGGCCACAGCCTCCAACCGGGTCCAGCCCCCATCATCCCGTGTTGAACTAGCGCAGCTGCCTCCTCCTTAGTCTCCCAGCTCCCACCCTCGCCCTCTACAGTGTTTCCCCCACAGCCACTAGAGGGAGCCTCCCCAAACCCACGCTGGGCCACATCCCTCCTCTGTTCAGAAGTCTCTATGGTTCCCACTACGCTCTGCCCCAAAACTAACGTCCTCTCTGTGGCCCACAAGTCCCTGGACCATCTGCCTCTGTCACCTCTCCAACTTTTTTTCCTGAAATTCTACCCCTTGCTTCTCTGAAGCCAAACGGACTTCCTCGCTGTTCGTCAAACCTGGTGAGCTCATTATTGCCTCAGGGGCCTTTGTACTTGCTGCTCTGCCTGCTTGGAATGTTTTTTTCCCTTTGATCCTTCACGGTTCACTCTCAAAAGTTCTTTCCTGTCTTAGCTCAAATGCCATCTCCTCAGGGAGCTTCTCCTGGATCACCTCCAAGTCCGTATCATTTTTTTTCCTACTTTATTTTGCATGGTAGTTATCATCAACTGCTATTATGCTATATACTTACTTTTTACAATGTAGATTCATTTATAAGTAAATAACAGTAGAAGAATAATATATTTTTATGGCTGTATCATTGTTTGTCTCTCCCTATGAGAACGGGGGCTTCAGGAGAAGAGGAGATATTTTCCTTTATGCCTATGTTCCCAGGGCCAGGAAACAGGGCGTGGCACATAGTAAATGCTCAATAAATATTTGTGGAATGGCTGAATAAAGCAATAAATGTGTTTATGGAACCAGAGCTAAAATAAAAAAGGAAGGGTTGGGCATCCTTGGGTCCAGGCTTACCTTCCAGGGCACTTTGAAGAGTAGCATTCAGGTGATATAGGTTGCAGGTGTCCTCCCTGGACTCTGGGGATCTGTGGTATATGGTCAGAATCTGCCAGGGCAGGGAAGGTGTCAGAGCCCATTCATACCCATTCCCTTTTCTCCTCAGGCCAGCCCTTGCCTGCCCAGGTCTCTGTCCCTGTGGGGAATTCACAGCCAAGTCTTCCCTGCCCTCTATTACTGAGTGCAGTGAAAACCCTATAAAGTCTAGACCAACTCTGTGAAATAGAATCTTCTGCAATGATGGAAATGGCCTCTGTGTATCCTTTTCCATATGGTAGCCACTTCACCACACGTGGCTATTGAACAAACATGTGAAATGTGGCTTGTGTGACTGAAGAGAGTGAATTTGAAATTGTATTTAATTTTAATGAATTTAAATTTAACTGAGGCTCAGGAGAAGTGTGACATGCCCAAAGTCACACAATGACAGGAATTCAACCATGACTCTGTTGCTGGAAACTTGAGGACAGGCTGCCTTAAAATTGGTGCACAAGAGGACTGTTCTCATTGGCCCAGGGCATGGGGCTCAGGGCAATGGAGCTGCTGGCTCAGATATTGGAGAAAGGATGACGTTAACCTCTGGGGACTGGGACGCACCCTGGAGGGAGACTCTTCCCCTGGTGGGGTAAGGAAGGAGACACCCCTCCAGGTACTGAGCATGGGAGGGGCAGAGAGGCCCAGTGACCTCTGACCTCTACTTTCTTCAACTCTTGCCTCAGTGAAAAATCTTTCTGAGCCTCTATTTCCCCACGTGTTGAATGGAGTCCATATTTTTACCAACTTTCCCGGGAGGGGGGCTGTTGCAATGTCTTTAGTTTGGTTCATAGAAAATAGTAGTGCCCTAAATAGTAGATTTTTTTTGCTGATTTTAATCTTATCTTAGAGTCTAAACTCATCTCTTTCCACCAACTAAGGGCGCCCTGGGCTCCAGCTAACGATCTCAGGGATGGGACACCCGACCTACCGAGATGGTTCCTCTCCCTACGCCACTGGCTTTGATCTCTAGGTCGTCTTCAGCAGAAAACTGAAAGGAAGCCAGAAGAGGATTTGAGGGCAAAGGAAGCAGCAAAACATGGCTCAAATGCAGTGGTGGGTGGGGAGGAAAGATGGTTTTACTTTTCTTTCCTCATAAGAGTATTTGTGGTGTCTACTCCATCACAAGTCAACTACAACTGCCAGCCCAGGCTGTGTCCTGATGTACATCGCTCCAATCTGACACCTTGTGGTGTCTCCAAATTTCCCCATGTGAGGAGCCCCCATGCACAACCCTTCTCCTGGGTGCCTCTGCATCTACTCTCATTTCTCTCATATATTCTTCCCTCATGAGCCAGGGCAACAGTTTACAAATTGACATCCAATCGCATCACTCCCGATTAAACCTCACTGCTATTCTTGGAAAAACTCCTGCCTCATGCTCTTTGCACCCACTGCTTCCTCTGCCTAGACATCCGCAGGGCTCACTCCTTTCTTTCCTTAAGGTCTTTGCTCAAATGCCATCTTATTGGTGAGACTTCTCTGACCATCCTAAAATTTCAACTCCTTGGTGTCCCCATTCCCCTTCCTGCTTAATTTCCCCCCCATAGCTCTTGCCACCATTTAACATGCTACATATTCTACTTATTCACATCTCCTTATTGTCTGTCTTCTTCACCAAAATATAAAATTCTACAGGGACAGGGATTTTGTTGTTTTATTCATGGTCATATTCCTGGCACCTAGAACACTGCCTGGCACACAGCAAGTGCTCAGTAAAGATGTATCAAGTGATTGAGGGTAAATATCACCTTCTTCAGGAAGTAAGGTCATGGAGATGACCTTATTCCACACACCCACGTTATTTTCTCCTTTGTACACTCATTTCTTTCTCTTGTCTTTAAAAATCTTAAAATATAATATATTTATTGTCTTAATGTCTTTCTAGACTGTAAGTTCCATGAGAGCAGGGACCACAGATCTTTCATAATGTATCCCCAATGCTCAGGAGAATGCTTGGCACACAGTAAGTGCTCAGAAAATGTTTGTAGAATAAATGAATTAATGCATTGACAGCATAGCCAATGATGTGAAGTAATCTTGGGGAAGAGATTAGCAGGGACATGATCCTTGGCCCCATCCCCAATGTCACCTCTGTGTGGACTTCCCTTCTGCCTCTGAGCACCTTACCTTTGCTGACCGCTGATGGTAAGCGTTGTTCTGATTGATGACCCACTTCACGTTCAAGGATCTCTTGGGGGCGCTGATCTGGACGTGGAGGTCCTGGGCACCTTCGAAGGGGACAGCTTTGGAAAAGCGAGTGAGGGCCTCGATGGCCACCACCGTGGTCTAGGTGTTGGGATGCATGGGGTTAAGATCAGCACCAAGGACAGTTCCCCGGGCGCCCACGGGGCGAAGAGTCAGCACCACGGACAGCACAGGTCGTCCTGACAGCACCTTGGCCACCGCCCCCATCCCCCGAGTCCCCACCCTTCCGAGGCCCTGGTCACCTGGGTGGACTTGAAGCCTCCTCCCAGCTCCCGCTTCTCCAGCAGCCACTTGGCGATGGGGTGCGTCTCATTATGCAAACCCAGCTTCAGCTTCTGCATCAGCGCATAGGCCGTGGCTTCAATGGTGTACAGGGAGTTCTTGATCCTGTCCTTGTCCTTTACTGGCCAGTAGTTTTTATCTAGAAGACGCATGCCCACTTTGTCACCCAGATCTGAGCCCACCTACCTAAATCTGTCCTCTCCTTTTGTCATCTGGCCCCATTTTTCTTGTCTTTACTTCATGTGAAATTCTTCAAGGAGGCGTATGGACATTTTATTTTCAGAACCACTCTGAGACAGATTCTTTTTAGAGATGGGGAAACTGGGTTTCCAGGAAGCTTCTCCAGGTCCCTCTAGTCCCACCGAAAGGGAGTTCTCCTAACTCTACTCTTCCTGGCTTAGAGAAAGGAGGGGATCCCTCCTTCCCCTCCATTCCCCAATATTCCAATCGGGGCCCTTGGGGATGAGACAGTGCAGGCCATGAGAGGCAGACCCCTTTCAACTCCCCACATTTAGTGACCTCTCTATCCTTGACCACGCCAAGCACTTTCCTGAGTCAGGGCTTTTGTATGTGCCATTCCCTCAATTTGAAATGTCCTTGGCCTCTCACAGAAGTGGGCCTTCTCGTCTTCCATTCCAGCCGAGGGGGTCCCCTTTTCATAGAGGCCGTCCCAGCCCCCCAGCCCGTACTCCTCCCCTCTAGTCATCCCTCCCGCCCACTTTGCAGTTTTCATCTCAGCACTCATCTCAATTTGTAGTTCTCTATTGATTTGTTTGTCTTCTGCTTGATTCTCCCAGGGATGGTGGGAGCTTTGAGGACAATGACCATAATTGCCTTGTTCACCTTGGTTTCTCAGGGTCTGAGCTCAAGGGTTGGCATGCCATAGATGCTCAATACGCCGTAAATGATTGGCCATCCATTGCTGGATTTCCCTCCTGCCACCCTCATGACTGTAGTTGACACATGGTTGCTGAAGAAGTGACCACGCACTCACTGTGGCTGGCAAAGCTGTCCAGCCGGTCGTTGGCTCGAGGGCTCTTGGTGAGAGCCAGAGCGTAGGAGACTATGGCTATGGAAAAGGTTTTCTGAATGTCAGGGAGGCGCCTCTCGAGGAAGCCACGGGCTCTCTCCATGCTGGCAATCAAATCCTAGAGGGTCAGAGACAGGAGGCTAGAGGGAGGTCATCAGAGGAAGTTAGGAGAAAGGGATGGACAGAGAGGGAAAAGAGGGGGGATCCCTGCCCTCCTCTTGGGGTCCTACCGGTATCTCCTGGAGGCACAACTCCTTTCCTTCATCCAGGGCAATCAGAACAAGAGCTGTGAGGGATACGTCAGCCTCAGAGCCTCGGTAGCCACCCTGTGGATGCAGAACCACACTCATGGTCCCTGTTAGCATCTTGGAGACACCTGCCCCAACTTGTTCTGCTTGACCTTGCAAAGCTACCAGGTGGTCAGCTCTGGGCTGGATCATGCTGTAGCTGTGCCAAGCTTGCTATGCTATCTCAGAGCATCTTTGAAGCAGCTCCATCTTACTGATAAGAAAACTGAGGGTCAGAGAGGTGAAGTCTCCCCATTGCTAGTAAGTTAATGACTTAGGGTTCAAATCCCTTTAATTTCCTAACTTCCACCCTCAACCCCTATACTGAGTTGTCTCCCCCAAATTCACGTCTACCAACACCTTAGAATAGAATTTTATTTGGAAATAAAGTCTTTGCAGATATAGTTCGTTAAGAAGAGGTCATGCTGAACCTAATGACTGGTGTTCTTATAAGAAGGCCGTACAGAGACACACAGAAGGAAGAAGAGCGTATGAAGACAGAGACAGAGATTGGAGTGATGTTGCTATAAGCCAAGGAATGCCAAGGATTTCCAGGAGCCACTGAGCTAGAAGAGGCAAGAAAAGATTCTTTTCTAAGACTTCATAAGGCACATGGCTCAGCCTACACTCCTTGACTTTGGACTTCTACTCTCCAGAACTGTAAGAATGAAAAAATTCTGTTGTTTTAAGACACCCAGTTTGTGGTACTTTGTTACAGCAACCCTAGGAAACTAATATACCCCCACAGTCTCTTCTTCCCACATTGGCCAACAAAGCCTGGGAACTCTTGAATCAGGTTATGTTCCTCCTCTGCTCAGAACCCTCCATGGCTCCCACCTCACTCAGAGGAAAAGTTCAAGTCCCTCCTGCAGCCCTCAAGGCCCTGAACAATCTGCTCCAACATCTTCCTGTCCTGACCTCTGCCCCTACCCCAACTCTGTTCCAGCCACAATGACCTCCTCACTGTTCCTCAAACATACTGGGCACAGCCCAGCCTCGGGGACTTTGCACATGCTTTCCTTGTACTTGGAAGACTCTTTCCCTAGTCTGTTACATGACTTGTTCCCTCACCTCCCCAGCTCTTTGTACAAATATCTCCTCATGAAGCCTTCCAAAATTCCACCCACCTCGCCTTGATCCCGCTTTTCCTACACCTTGCCCCATGTCACTTCTACCATGCCATGTCATTTTTGTCTACATTATGCTTATTGCCTGCCTGCTCCTCACTAACATGCCTACCCCATGAGGACAGAATTTTCATCCGTTTCGTTGGCCTGGGGTCGCCAGCACTTAAAGGAGCACTTGGAACATTGTAGGTGCCTGAGAAATGCTCACTGGTGGAAGGAAACTCCAACCTGCGAGCATGTGAAGCCTGTGTTTGTAACCCCTTCCTGCATCACCTTCTTTGCCGTGTTGGGCTCTCACTCACATGGTCCTCCTGGCTCCTGAAGCCCTCCCTTCCTTTGGGGGTGCAGTCTGACTCGGCTGGGTTCATTCATTCTCCCAGAGTTTTATTCAGCAAACATTTGCCAATTGCAATGAACTAGACCTGTTTCCCTTTCTGGAAGGACTCACAGTATAGAAAAAGAAAACCCTGAAGAGACTAATTTAAATCCTCATCATGTCCCCCAGGGTCTCCAGGTCTTAGGACATGACACCTTCCCTCCCTCTCAGGCTCTGGTGGCAATGGTCTCTTCTCTCTCTCTTCAGACATGCCAGAGCCACAGGCCCTCTGCACATGCTGTTCCCTGTGCCTGAAGCTCTCTCCCAACTCTTCCCCCCACCAACTCCTATTCCTTCTTCAAGTTGCTCCTTTATTGCCACATCCTTTTTCTTCTGGGTAACTATACAAAAAGGTTTATTCATTTGCATTAGGAGTTGGGTCCACTGACAGTAGAAAACTTCAGTGCCCAGAAAACTGACAGGCACCTTGTGGCGGACATTTGTGGGGCACGCACAGGAGAGAGGTCCAGTGATCTGTCCTCCTTTGGGAGGCCAGTGTGGTAGGACAACCAGGCCACCCAGCTCCTGTGGCCACCCTGGCAAACAGGCCTGGCTCCTGGTAGAGCTTCTGGAGGATTTGGATCCTGGGGTGTCACAGAACTTTAGTCTGTGTATTGTTACTTCCTTTTGCAGGCTTTCCCTGCCACCTCCAGGGCCAAACATGGACCTTATTAAATACCCTCTCTGGATTTTTATCTCCCATGGAACACAGCCAATTGTGACTTAAAGAATCACTAGCTATAATTACTCAGTGGACTTCTGCCTTCCTTCCCCTCCCTTAGCTTGTGAGGTCTGCAAGGTAGGAGCTGTAAATGTCTTTTTTTTTTTTTTTTTTGGAGGGGGTGGGGCTGTGTTTCTCCTCTGCCTAGCATAGGGCCCGGCATACAGCAGTTGTTGGATAAATGGTTGTTGAGTTGTTGGATGAATAAATGAATGAATAATGGGATAGGTGCAATGGTAGAGACAGGCACAGGGCTGACATTCAGGGGGGACTTCCTGGAGGAGGCAACGTTTGAGCTAAATCTAATAAAACAATTTGGCTGGATGAAGGGGAAAAAAGGCGAGGTGTGGGTATTCCATGCAGAGAGGGGAGCATAAGCAAAGACACGAGAGGTGAAGAGGAGAGACCCACGAGCCGGGAGTGGTGAGGGGGAAGGCTTGGGAAGAGATGCAGAAGAGAGGGCTGCAGTGGAGGGAGAGCGTTGTAGGCAACCGGAGCCACAGAAGGTGCTGAGCAGGAGAGGCCTCCCAGTCTGCTTGGAAGCTGTTTCTGAGACTTGTGTGGAGGAGCACTTGGTAGAGATGGGTATGCTGGCTGCAGGCAGAGAGGACTCAGGCTCAGTGGGAGGGGGACCAGGATGGACGGCTGCTGGAAGCGATGGTGACGGAGAGGTGGGGTCGCTGGTGTACCCAGCCTCCCTCACAGTGTAAAAGAGTTCCAGGGAGCGAGGGGAGATAAGGCTGGGTGCTGGGCCTCAGCTGTTTCCTTTTCTCATGCTGCCTGAGAACAGTTCAAGGGCCTGACATTCCTTTTGGCTGCTCTGAGCCCTGGGTTTTGTTTAAACAGCTCAGCAGGGGGTGGGGGGCTTGGGCACCTGCATGGACGCCATGATCACGGGGCCTCTCTCCAAGAAGTGCCCGTCCTCTGCCTGCCTCTGGGTGATGATCCACTTGGCAATGTCACAGAGAGAGTGCGGGTCGATCACAGTGGTGGTCATGATGAATGAGGCCAGCACGTAGACGCGGAACACATAGCTCGTGAGCCTGGTGGGGAGGGCGCGGGGCTAAGCGATTACCAAGAACGGCGGCAGCCGAGGGGGTTCATAAGATAGGAGCATCTACACTGTGCAGACCTGGACCGTGAACCACACGGCCTCAGGCTGACCCCTCATTTGTGTGGAGTGCCACTGGCCCACAGGCTGCCTGCCCCAAGACCCCACGGCGTGGATCGTCAAGCCCCAGGCTGGCCCTGTCTTCTTACCAGGTGCTTCCCGGGTTCCCCTTGTGGATGTGGTAGGTGCCGTCTGCGCTCCGGTGGGTCAGCATCCGGGTATATCCTGGGGAAGCAGGTGGATGAGGTCTTGCAGGGAGATTTGATGTTGGGGTGTGGCTGGGAAGTTACCAGGCATAGTCTGGATGGGAAGGGCACGGGGGTGACTTGGGGAGGCAACCCATCTACATAGAACCTGGAGCGGGGACTTATACACGGCATCAGTTGGGGGCTGCGGGGCCCAGATGTAGATGAAGGTCACAGCCAGTCGTGACCATGGGAGCAGCATGCAGCTGTATCCAGGGGACACCTGGGAGATCACCCCGTCTGGGGAAGGGCACGACTGGGAATTGCTGCTCAGAGGGATCACGGAAGGTGAAACCCAGGAAAGGGGGTCCCCCGAGAGGCCGCCGCCTGGGCATTTTCTCGGGGCTCTTTCTGGGCTGCAAACTAGGAGTGTCAGCATGTCTGTGTTGCCTCGAAGGAGCCACTCCTGGTGTATCTGGTGGGGACACCCGTCAGAGGTGTACTCTGAGCATTGCTCTTTGGGTGTTACCTGAAGGTTACCTGAGGGTTCTCTGTGTGAGTGTAACACCGGGGGTGACGGTGTCCGGGTGTCCCCTGGGCATTACTGTTGGGAGCCTCTGAATGGAGTTGGTGTCTGAGAGCAGCTGGGAAGAGGGGTCAATGTCCCAATTAACTTGAGGGCTCTGGGTACAACTAGGGGCATTTGTCTCCGGTTGTCACCTGGAGGTTTGGATACCTGGGGAGGTGTCAGCATTCAGGTGTAACTGGGAGGGAGGACAGGGCCTGGGATTATTCTGGTGTTTTCTGCGTGGGGGTTCCCTGGGGCTGACCCCGGGCTTGGCACCCGCTGGGCGCGGCCTGGGGCAGTGTGTGACTGTAGCAGAACCTGCAGGTCGCTGCTTTGGGGGTAAACCAGGTGTATGTTGTCAGGTTGTAACCTGGGAAGGGGGTCCGGGGGAAGAAACAACCCGGTGTCACTGTTGGAATTACCCGGGGGGCCTTCATATCATGTTGTTATCTGGGAGAGGGGTCAGAGTTCAAGAGTAATCTAGGGGTCACCTTGAGAGGACTATTTGGGGTCACTGAGGGTCACCTGGGGATCGGTATCAGCTTGTCCTCGTGGGAGGGGAGTCAGAGTTTGGGTGTCATTGTCTGGGAGGGTAATGGGGCCGCCCCCAAACCTAGAGGTACCTGGGTCACCCTCCCAGAGAGCCCCAAACACCCTCATCGAGGTCACCGAAGGGTACCCGCGCTTACCGCTGACAATGTTCTTCATCACTTGGGCCCTGTGCTCCACCCCAACCTTGCCCCACTGGCCCGTAGTGTCTAAATACTGGGTCAGGATGATGGCCGGGGTCAAGAGGCTCAGCGTCTGCTCAGGGCAGCCGGTTGGGAGGCTCAGCAGCTTGTGTGTTTCACTGGCTGTCAGGCTGCCGAGGATCGTCTCGCCAAGGATGTCACCTGTCAGGTGGGCAGGGTCACCCTGGGAATGGCCTGAGCCACCGCAGGGGCACTCTCAGCCCCTCCTGCTGCTGTGCCCCGCAGGCCCCGGAGGACCCAGCACCCTCCTCCCCCGCCCCGCCCCTCCCCCTCCCCTCCCCCGCCCCTCCCCCCCAGGAGCCGGCTGTGCCCTAAGCACCTTGGACGCTGACAAACACCTCTGCCTCTGTATTGGGCACTTTGTTCAGTAGGTCTTGTCTTGGCACCCGTTCCACCTGGTTCTGACCTGAGCAGACACAACCTTCAGTGACAAGTGAGCTCTGAGGCTGGGGAAGTCAGAAGGCACGGAGCCCAGGAGGGGCTCGGACTGCCCACCACGTCTGAGCCCTTCATTTTAACCTGCCCCTCTGCCCTGGCGTGTCCCCGGGGTCCCACATGCCCCTGCAGACCCCACAAACCTTGGGGGTTCAGGACGATGCTATGGGATATTTTTTCTGTAGTCCCCCCTGCCTGTGGGAGGCAATGAGGAAACAAGTTAAAAACAACAACAGCAATAACGACAATCACAATGACAATAAGAGGAAGCATTGCTTAGCTAATGAGAGCACACACTCTGGAGCCCTAATATCTGGATTCAAATCCCAGCTCTTCTGCTTCCTAGTTGTGTGATCTTGGGCAAATTACTTAACCTCTCTGTGCCTCAGTTTTCTCATTCATACAAGGGCAAGAATAATAGTTTCCACATCCTAGGGTTGTTCTGAGGGTTCAATGAGTTAATATTCTTGAAGTGCTATATTGTAGGGCCTAACTGTGTTTTTGTTAAGAAAATCAAGTATTATTGATGGGTCACACACGGGTTGTGTGTAATTTTCACAGCTCTCTGATTATTCATGGTCATGGTGATTATCCCCATTCTGTAAGTGGGAAAATGGAGGCTCAGAGAAGTTAAGTGAGCTGCCCAAGATCACACAGCAGAGACAGGATTTGAACCCAGTTCTGACTCCGAAGTTGTGAGGTAGGGGCTCTGTGACTGGACTTTCAAATCTAGCCTCTCGCCTCACTCGCATCTGGGAGGCTTCTTTGTTGATCCTGCGCCCCCCTGCCCCTCTCCTGATGACGCAGGGAAGGTCCACTGTTTACACTAGAAGCAAGGCGTGGGGACGTCCATTACCTGGACCAGGAGAGTCTTCCTCACGTGGTCCAGGGCCCCTTGGCCCACGACCTTGACTTCCACCTCCACTTTGCCTATCTCAAGTGGGAGAAGCACAAAAGGCACCATCTTGGAGGAAGCAGGCGGCACAACCACCACCTGGCGGTACGGGGCTCCCGGCTTTGATGCGCTGCACAGTGTCTCCTTGTAGGGGAACTCCACGCGGACCTGGGGCAGGGTGGGCCGTTGGGGGGTCCTGACGCACAAATGACCCAAGATCCTAGAGCCACAGTCCCCTCCTGCCCCACCCTGAGAATCCTGAGTAGGTGACAACCCAGCGTAGTGGTTGACAGCAGAGACCCTTCCTGGGTTCAAGCCCCTCTGCCATTTATGAGCCATGTGATCTCTGGAAGCCCTTTGGCCACTCTGTGCCTCAGTTTCCTCATCTCTAAAGAACCATAATGGCACCCATCTGCTGGGGTTACTGTGAGGTTTACATAAGAAAATACCTTAGAAGTTTTTCAAAAAGGCCAGCCTTTTGCTGGCCCTCTCTCACAATGGCGCACCCCATCCTCTCCCCGCGCCCCCCCCCCCCGCCGTGGATGTTTTGGCAGGAAGGGCAGGGCTGGAGGCTTCACCTTGACCTTGTGGTTCATAAGATTGTACAGCACAGCTTGGATCTGGACTTGCTCATTCCTGACCACAGAGAAGGGCAGCTTAAGATCCACAAAGAATGATTTCCTAACTGTCAGCTCAAAGGGTTTCGAGACACAGAGACCTAGAACCGGGAGATCGTGTTGAAGTCAAGCGGAAGCGCACTGCCCTGGGGCTAAATGTTTTCCCGTCCTCTCAGCATTGGGCTTGTGGGGGTCACCTTTTCCAGCCTTGAGGCTGATGGCCACAAAATGCCACGTGGTCATGGAATCCGGCACGTTCACATGAATGCTGTGCTGGGAGATCTTCCTGGAAGGCGGGGGGGAGGGGCGGGGCGGAGGGGAACCACTGAGTTGGTGCTGCCCGGACAGAGCCCCTGTCCAAGGGCTACGGTCACCATGGAGGGGTCAGTGGGTCACCTCATGCGAGGCATCACCCGTAGAGCGTCATCATTTTGGGGGGACCCCTGGGATCTGTATTTCCATGCGGGGAGGCTCCTATCATGGGACTATGCTGAGAACTCAGTGGACGTCCACTGATTCATGGAAGGGCTAGGGACCAGATGTTGGGATGGGGGGTGGTGATCCTACCCCGCTGCTGTCGTTTTTGGCAGAGTAAACGTCCTCCAGAGCCAGCTCTCAGGGAACAAGGTCCGGACAGGCAGGTCCTCCATGAAGATGTCTTCAAAGTCCTCCTCTTCATCCGCTGCAGGGAGCAGACGGGGCCGGGACTCCTTCGCATGTCTCCTGTGGCCGGCCCCGCAGGCTCCTCAGGGGGTCCCTCCCACCCCATCTCCCCATGGCTCAAATCTCCCCTCGCCCTGTTCCATGGCACTCACGCCATTGGGTGGAGGCCCCCACCCCACGCCTCCTGCTGTGCCTCCCTCACTTGTCCCCAGAAGCAGCTGATCCTCCCGGGCCTCCCGAGTCAGAGTCTCGGACAGATGGCAGCAGCTCAGGAAAGCGGCAACACAGTCTGGCCCGTAGCGGACATGCCGGGTCCTCTCCTCACACGACAGTCCCACTGGGTTCTCCCGGAGCCCAGCCTCGCAGCACTTTCGCTTCAGCTCCGTGTTGAACTTGTTCACTGTGGGCCAGGTTTAGAGGGATGAGGAGGGACTGAGCAGGATCTGAGGAAGCTGGGAGCCAACCACCCCAATGCCACGTGTACTAGGTCTCTGTTCAGCCATAACTCTGGCAATTGCTGGTCGGAACACTTTGCCTCCTGTGTCTTCCTCCTAACGCTTCATGTTGACCCTGTATGGTGAGTCCTGATCGAGGAGCTGAGTGACAGGGAGGTCGAGTCACTGGCATAGCATCACACAGCTCACAAGCAGCAGAGCTGGGACTAGAATCTGTGCCACTGTTGCTTCCCCTCCCCTCACTCACCCTCCTCCGTGTTCTGCTGTTGGACAGGGACTGGTAATGGCATGTTTATTTATAGAAGATGCCATGTTGACTCCCAATTTTCATTATATATTTTTAAAAACATAAAGCTTGCTGTAAAGCATGATGTCAAGTTGGATGCTTCTAAATTAGCAAGTTGAAGGAATGTACTTAAAGATAAAATTATAACAATTTAAAAATCTTACTGTCTACCCTATAACATGATTAGAACATCTATAGTTAGATGATGTAACTGATCATTACCACAAATGAAACAGTGGTTCATATAAACTTTCTCCAGCTGGTTAGTATGATTTTTGATATTGAAATTAGAGTTAGGGTTTTAGCTTAATTTTTATTAGATTTTACCTATTTTCCCTTTATTTAGATCCACCAAGTCCTTAACATCGCTCAAAGAGACTGACACATCTAATATTCACAGAATGCATGCTTCTCGCACCAGCCAGCAGCACCTCCCGTCTTCCTGGAACTCCAGGCCCAGAGCCAGAAATCATCCACTGGCATTCAGCACCCATTGCTCTTCCCATCTACGTTCCCTCCGATACCACAGAGGGCTGACATCTAAAAACTACATTTCCCAGGCTCTCTTGCTGCTGGAGTTCTGGCCGGGATTAGATTCTGCACTCGAGATGCTCTTGCGCAACATTTGGAGGTGGAAGAGGAGCAGAGACCATTTCCCCTGCAGCAGCGGAAGCTAATGAGGGGGCCTCGGTCTGCCTGTTTTTTTAACGGGGAAATTTCCGTGTTCCGCTCTCTATCCACCAGCCTCAGCGGGAATTTTGGCAGGAGTTTCCTGAGATTTCATGCCTTGCAAGAACTGCAATGGGATGATTCTGAGTCCCAATGAGCAGTCTTCAAAACGTCTACTCCTGCAGCCCATCCAATAATTTTGAAAGCACAAAACTCCTACGATGAAATCCCTTCCTCCCTGCGTAAAGTCCCTAGAATGGCTTCAGTGTTCTTTCTTAAGTGCTGATGGATACAGCGGGGCACACTGAGCGTTCTCTCTGACCTGCATTCCTCTTGGTCTCCAGGCTCTTCAGGGAGCGGCGGCGGCGGCTGGGAGAGGGGCTCTGGGGGCAGCGCCAGTCTACGGGTTAGAGGGAGGAATGGAGATCATTGTCAGGATCATTATCAACAGCCTTGATGATACCGATTGGGTGCTACCATACACCCAGTGCTTTATGTGACCTCATTTTATTCCACGGGTACCTCATAGACAAGATTCACCACTTAAAAGCTGTGTGGTCTTCAGCAAGTCACAGCGTCTCTGGGCTGTACTTTCCCCAGCTATGTGCAATGACTATAATCGCAGTTCTATCAAAGGTATCGTGCATTTACAAGCACTGAGCACAGGGTCGAACTTGTGGTAAATAGAAACTGTCGCACACTCCTAGTTCTCTCGACACCCATTTTCCTCCCTTCATCGGTGGCAGCTAAACCTCCATCTTTTTCTATCATTCAGAATGAAGAGTACATTTCCTAGCTTCCCTCGCACCAAATTCATGCCAAGTGTCTGTGTTACGGCCAATGAGATGTGACAGAAGTGTCCTCTCCTTCCCGCTTCCCTTCCTCCTGCCACATGGAATGGGGTCCCGATGAGGTGTGTGTGCAGGACAATAAGCTAGAGAGACACCGAGTCCCAGAATGACCTCCGGATTGTTACTGAGGGAGAAATAAAACTTTTGTCTTATTTACTTTTTAAAAAATTGATTTGGAGAGAGGAATGGAGAGAGACAGAGAAGGAGGGAGGGGGGAGGGAGGGGGAGGGAGGGGGGGAGAGAGAGAGAGATGTGTTGTTCTACTTATTTTTGCATTCATTGGCTGATTCTTGTATGTGCCCCAACCGGGGATCAGACCAGCAGCCTTGGCACATTGGGACGATGCTCTAACCAACTGAGCTATCCAACCAGGGCCAATAAACTTCTTATTTAAGCTACTGTTAATTTTATTTTTGATACACATGGCTGGACCTATATCTAATCAACACAGAGTGAATTACTTGTATTATTATCCCCATTTTATGGACAGAGAAACTGAGATTATGAAGAGAGAAGAAATATGACTGACCCACAGTGAATGTCAAAACCCTGGGTTTTAGTCCATCTGTTTGATGCCAAACCTCCTGCTCTTAACCACTAGAAGGCACTGCCTCCGTCCCTCCGCCCTGGCCGCCCCCTCCCACCCCCCGCCCGCACCGGTGCTCGCCAGGGTGTCCATCCCCGAGCTCATCTTCAGGTCCAAGCCCGCGTCCTTGAACACGGCAAGCCTGTCTTTCCCGCTGCCCGCCGTGCAGCCAATGTCGTGCTCCTCCACCACGTCCCAGACCTGGGGACAAGGGAGGAACCTGGATTGGGGCCTGTGTGGCCCGCCAGGGAAGGTAGAAGGGCGCACCGGGATTGCTGGCTCCCATAATAATTCTCACACCATCTCCCACTGACCCCTTACCACCTGCCCATCTCTATCCCGTGCGCCAGCTGCTTGAATCCTTGGGACCATCAGTGCTGCCCATTTTACAGCTGAAGAAGACGAAGCTTCAGCTAGAATGTCCAGGCCACCTTTTGACCCCAACTCCGTATGTTCTCACCTTCTTCTGTGTGAGATTGTGTTTGCTGTTCATGACATAGACAGCTTTGTCCACGGCCACTAGCCCCACTGTGGCCTCTGCATCGCCTGTCACCTTTATGTCCACCTGGGTGTTGGGCTCCAAAAAATTGAAGTGATCTTCATTATCCAAGCCAACCTTCAGCTGACCAGGAAAAAGAGACATGTCAGAAAAGGGGGCTCCTAGGCTTCCAAGGGGCTTCTGCAAGTCCACTTTCATGTTCACGCTCCCTACAGCTCTGATGGAGCATTGGGGAACTCCATCGGGCCAATCCCAGCTCTACACATTTACTTGCCCCATCGTCATGCCCTGGGTTGAGCTTTGAAAGCCATATCTCTTCCTCTTACACTCACCTGCCCCCAGGCTGGGCACCCCTTGAACTTGGTTATGCCCTCTCCTGAACTTTATGATGGCGATGTTCCGCTGCAGGGAGTTCACTCACCATCCCCATGCATCTGTCGTTCACGTCAATCATTACGGAATCGGCCACCAGTTCAGGGTCCTGGCCTGTTCCTCTGGGCAGTAAATAAAAGGCCAGGATGCGGAAGGAAGGCAGCATCTCTGAAGTCACATCAATAGTGGTTGACGTGTAGACACTCCCATGATGTCTTACCTGATGATTGGCAGAGATGATCTGACCCTTACTCAGGACCTTGGAAACAAGGGAAGCCAAGGATGAGAAGGGGAAGGCCATCCTTCTGAGGGTGAGAGACATCCTCAGTCCTTTTGCTTCAGTTCCTTGGCCTAAGCCCACCCTAGATGGTTCCCACCTTCACACCATTTTTTCATTGTTCCTTCAACTCAGCGAGCCAAGATTGTTCCAGGGAAAAAATTCTCTGACTCAAGTCCTGTTCCTAGTCCCTCACCAGGATGGTGAAGTGAGTAATCTGCTCCTTGGTTGCGTCATCCTTATTCCTGGTGTTGAGGCTCAGGTGGATGTTATTGCCAACTTCTGTGTCAAACATCTTCACCTCAATGTGCAAGAAGTTCCCTGACCCTTCCTGAGTTGAGTAAGGCCAAGCCGTCATCCTAGCTTCTGCTTGATCTTCTGGCTGAAGATCTGCATCAGTTTTCACCTGGGGAGATCGATGGGCTGCTAACTGTCAACCCTTCCAGCTTACACAACCCCACCGCCATATCTGCCCCATTGGATTAGTACCAGGATAGGGAGCTCCTTCATATTTGCGTCTGTGTTGATGGTCAGAGTGGCCACCCCTCTGTCTGAGGTGAACTCTTTTTTGTCTTCACAGCAAACGGGGACTTTGGAGGCTGGGGACCCATCAGGATTTGAGACGAAGACCTGGGGTGGAATGGGGGGTGAGATAAGGGGCAGGCCTGGGGGTGGCCTGGCAGGAGAGGTGGGCACTGGGGACACAACCTGGATCGGACTGCCCTGTACAGCTGTGCAAGGTGCGCACTGAACAACACCAGAGATGCCATTCACATTAGAGTCCTTATGGATGGCACTCCCTAGAGTGCTGCAGTGCACAGCTGCGTGTGCTGGCCCTGGGCACTGGGGTGCCCGTGGGCGAGGGGGAGGGTGGGCTGGGGGCGGGGGTGTGGAGAAGGTGGGAGGAGCATGGAGGGCTTGGGGAAAACTCAGAGTAGGATTGGTACTAAAGTAAAGCCCACCAGACGGCTCAAAGTCACCCCAAATGAATGTATAAAACGGCATGCTTGCTCTGCAGAAGTAGCTTCAAGATAAACCCCTGAGCACCACGTTCCAGTCTGACTGTGACTCCTAAGCCCCCACAGAGAAATCCTGGAGCCATTGCTGTGCTTTGGGAAGACCTGGGTTATGACTTATTGGGACTGACCTGGGGGACTGGATGGACTCAACTCTCAGAAAGGTGAGTTGTAGGGGACAGGTGAGTCCAGTGCGGGTTTTTTTTTCCTGGTGGGGGGGTTGTTTGAGGGTGGAACCCCTGAGTCCTTGGGTGGAATGAACCCAGACCCTGACCCTCAAATGGAAGGGCATCCCCGGCTTGAAATACTGGGGTGTCTTGATGAAATTGATGTTGAATGGGGTCCGGACGATCTTCAGCCCTGAGGACTCGGCCTGGACCATCTCACCCCCTGCAGAGACAGAGGGACCAGGAGTCTGGAGGAGGTTCAATTTTGCGGGGAGTGGCAGGGCTGCTGGTGTGGGGGGCCCATCTTGGTGATGACAGGGAAAGACAGTGACAGTTTCAGCTCCTGCCAGCCCTTCTGGCATTTTCCCATTTCTCTGATGAGGAAACTGAGCAGGAGGTGGCCCGAGGTCACGCGGGCAGGATGTCTGGGCTGGGAAAGAACACAGTGTCCTGACCTCAGCCACGGGCCGGGGTGAGGGAGGCACCTGAGGAGAACACAGTGACGTTGACAAAGATTGAGGCTCCTATGAAGTTCTCTTCTGGGCCTTGGAATGCGGCCATCAGTTTGTCCTTCTGGAGGGAGACGTGGCCTTGGCCTCTAGAGATCTGCTCCCAGGGAAGGGGAAAGAAGAGGAGATGGTTTCTTGGGGGACTGATGGAGGGTTGGGGGAGAGGAGGCTGGGGAGGGGTCCAGACTTGGTCACCTCCACCCTCTGCAGGGAGCTTTCAATGGAGATCCGGCGGGAATCGTGCTTCACCCCGAAGATGGCCAGGGCGTGCCCGTCCACCGGCTTGTTGAATACATACCTGGAGGGGAGAGAGACGTCCCGCCATCTCTGAAGCACGCACACAGCCTCACCTGGCTGCAGAGACGGCCCGTGCGGTCTCACAGGGCTGCAACAGCGGCTATGGAACTTTGAGAGGGGCAGACGAGGCCCCTGGAAACTTAGACAGTTTCATTGCTGACCCACAAAATCCTGGAAGGTGACAAATACGTCGCACGAAGCCTTGCAGGGTTGTAGATGTGGCTTGTGCAACCTTAGGAGATGGTAACGTCAGCTCGTGCAGCCACTTGGAGCCATACAGAAGTCAGGACAACCCATGGGGTGTCTGCGCAGCATGATAAAACTTCAGGAATGATCTCTATCATGTTAAGAAGTGGCACGCATGGCCCTTACAACCTTAGGGGGACAACATGGCTGGCGGAGGTGGCCTGTAAACTTCATTTGGCAGCAAGTGTGGCATTTGCAATTTCCTAGTGCTGCAGAGATGACCTGGACAACCTTACAAGGTGCCTGAGGTACCTGCGCTACCTTGTGGACCTTCAGACTTGGTTCAGACCACGAGGTCTGACCCACTCCGTTAGGTGGGCCAGGTGGCCCGGGCAACCCCAGAAGCCTGAAGAGATGGTCTGCACAGCTTCACAGGGGGTGGGCGTGGTCTGTACAACCTTATGGGAAAATGTAGGTGACCCAGAATATCTCCAGAGTGTCAAGGAGGGCCTGTGTTGTACCCTACACGCTACAGAAGTGGCCCACTTCCCTCTACCCTTCAGTTTCTTGGTGCCCTCGGTTCTCTGGACAGGCTAAGGGTAAAGCAACTCACCAGGCCTGGATGTCCACATTCAGAGCTTCATCACCGAGGTAGAAGAATTTCTTGTTTGGGACCAGCCGGACGTCGAAAGATGGGAGCACTGTGTGGAGTAAAGGCAGTGGGCGCCCTCCACAGGTTGCCGTCCTCCCCTCATCCCCTCTCTGCCCTACTCCTTCCCTGGTGGCTCTGGCAACCCCCAAGAATGGGAACAGGCCGTCCCACTCACCAGCACCCAGCTGAGGCCCTGGCACGCAGTGGGTGCGCCACAGGAACTCCTTTGCATCCCCAGCCCAGCTTCTGGCGTGGCCCTCCTCCCCCTCCCTGTCAAGCCACGCTCACCGTACTCCTTCACATCAAAGGCTGCTTTGAACTTCTGCTTGCTCGCACTTTGGTAACTGGCTTCGATGCTCCATGTCCCAAAACTGAGGCCAGAAAGTTAGGAGAGATGGAGACCAAGGAGACCCTCCCTCCCTCCATCCCCAGGGTTCCCAGCAGGGCACCTGATGAGCTCTGGGAGGTGGAACGAGCTTGAGAAGATACCGTCCTTGGCTAACAGGTCCTGGCTGCTCACAGTGATCCCTTCTGGGTTCTGCGGGGGCAGGCAGGTGGGTTATGCCTGCGGGCCTCCAGCACATTATACAGCCCCAGTGTCTGGGACCCACCCTGCCAGCAGGAGAGGCCACCTTGATGTCTAGAGTGAACGTCCTGTTCACAGGATCCATCCTGTGGTTCAGCGTGAACACCCGGTATTGAACTGGAGGAGAAGGGAAGACTGACTGTTGGATAGTTTGGAGGGCAGAGGGTATAGTCATTTTGATCTCGGGCAGTGGGGAGATCTTGGCAGGTGGAATATGTTGGGCACTGGGCGAGGCTGGGGGTGAGAGTCAACGCCTGCCCCAGGCCAAACACCCAGAGGCCGTACCGAAGTGATCAGGGGTGTAGATGGTCTTGTCTGTCTGGATGAAGATGTAGCCAGCGTGCGGAACCACCAGCACAAGCTTCTCCATGAATGAGGATGTGGAGGTGGGGGCCCAGGTTGCCTGGATGATGACATACTGCTGCCCAGCATGTGGGGGGTATACCAGGCTCTCGGGGATCTGGGGAGAGACGCCGCCACTGTTCAGGCCCTGCTGGGTCTCCATCCCTGGGACCAAAACCCTGGGGCAGGTCTTGGGAGGAGCAATTGAATGGGAGCCCTCTGACTCTGCCTTGGGAGCTGGGTCACCTTCTGTGGCTGTGCAGTTGGCTCCTGCCCAAGGACATGCAGCCAAGCGGAGATGCAATGCAGTCCATGCGCAGCTTTCCAAGCCACCAGCAGAGGGCGCCTTTTGTTAATCAGCACTGAGGCAGTGTATGGGCTAATAATCATGGCAGGTTCTCAGAGTCCAGACTACGGGTGTTTTGGATTTCTAAAAGGACAGAGCACTAGAGGAGCACTAAGTGTATCCAAGCCCTGCATGTGTTCCCTAGTGTCTCTTGTAGGAAGTCCCTCTAGAGTCTCCCCGTTTCCACTGTTGCTGCTGGCCCACAGCCTCCCTTGGTGGCGGCCACCCCTCCGGGCCTGTCACCTACCGTCACGGGTGTCTGACTCATAAAGTTGTTTTCCTGTGAGAGAATGACCTGGCCCTTCGCCACCATCGTCTTCTTCATGGGGAAGTCCCACACGGTGAGGTTCACCTTAAGGAACCCACTGAGGGACTGCGAGGAGTCCGAGTGAGCCTGCACGTGGATGTTCTCTGGGCTGCCGACCCGCAGGACTCGCGGGGTCACCAGGATATACCTGCCGGTGGACAAACACAGGGGCCCAGGGGGAGTCCAGCAGGGGAAGCGACAGCAGAGGCAGGTGGGGTCCTACCCAGGGAGGCATGGGGACGACAAATGCGTAGGCAGTCAGCAGGTTCCCCTCAGTTCCCCAGACTCACAGTGGCTCCGTGTGGGTGAAGGGGATCCCCAAGAGGAGCAGGATCAAGCCCATGGACCAGGGCACGTCCATGGCAGCCAGAGGGTGACGTGGGGCCCTTGGCCACAGTTGCTGTCCTCTTGTCCGCCCCAGCTCTGGTCTGTTTGCCTTGGCCTGTCCTGGCTGAGTTAATATCTAAACGGGGATGGGGAGGGAACCCTCATAAACCCAATGGGAGCAGAGTGGGCTGCTCCTCCCTTGTCAGCGAGGCCTGCCCTGGGGGGCTGGGATTGAGAATTGTTCCAGCTCCCCACTTGGAGGGCACAGTGGTAGGGGGGGCTGTCCCTTCCATGAGCCATGGGGTCCTATCCTGAAGCCCTCCCATTACCCAGAAATAAGCCTAGACCCCCCTAGGACACTGGATCAGGACACTGGACTTGGGGCTAGGTGGGGATCGGCTGGAAGAGGTAGGAAGAAGCAGGAGTCCTCACCTCTGCCCTGGTGAAATTGGCAAGAGCTTCTGAAAGCAGCGCAGGCCCAATGTATTCATTTCCCAGTCACAGGCCCGAGCAGACATATGGCCATCTGGCCCCAGGCTCCACCATAATAGGACCTGAGAAATGCAGGGGTCAGGCCCTTTTGCTCTCGATCTTCCTGCACCCAGCACTCACCGCATGGTTTTCTCCTTCCTTGTAGGAGATGACTGTGCTTGGTCAACTGCAACCATTGTTCATTGTCTCTAAGTCATGCCAAGCTCTCTGGGCTCCTTTTCTAAAGGCAAATTATACATGTTAAACCAGGGACGAAAACACATCATGCTGGAAGCATTCCTGGAAGAAAGCTTTCTCTGTTCTGAAATAATTCTCTCTGGCCGTTTAATGTGCCCATTAGAAATGTTGAACCCGCTTTGTGGTATCTGCCTCTTAGAAGCAGGCGGGGTTGCAGACAAGCTGGTCTGGCTTTTCCTTCCTCTGTGAGGTCAATACCACTAGCTTGGGGAATCTTGCCTATTGGAGGACTCCAGGTCTCCCCAAACAATGATAATACACCTTCATCCCATGAAAATTCATTAAGTCTGTACTAGGAGCCCAGCCCTACTCAGCATGCTGGGGATGTAGCAGTGACCACAATACATGAAATTCCTACCCATGTGGAGAGCACAGTGACAGAAATTACTAAGGTCCCCAAGTGCATTTTCTCCTTAAACCTCAGCCTCTGATGAATTAGGTTCAATGCGTGCCAACTTTCCATACTATCTTTGCAGAGCACTGGAAACCCAGGTGTGTTAGAAACAAAGGGGGCAGGTAGAATCTAGTCATTTATTCCTCAGGTATTTCTTGAGTACCTACTATGTGCCAGATGCTGTTTTGCCTGCTCTGTCTGGCGGTTGTAGATGGCTCACAGCCACGCTGAAGTAAGAATTTAGCACCCACTGTAAAGGTGAGGAAACTGGGGCCCCGGGAGGGTGAGCCTGTTGGTCTGGAGCACGCACACGAGCTAGGAAGATGGGTAATGCACATAAGTTTATGATAAACAATCTCTTATGAAACAAAGAATCAACATAATCGAATTAAGGCCTGGATTTCAGGTGATATCTAATTTAGAAGGTTCTAGAACTTTGGTGTTCATTTGGCATGTTCCACTGCTGTCCCAGGCTCTTGGGGAATCCCCGCCAGTTCTGTTCAGCTCTCCCTTAGCTGGAGAGAGTTCTCCCCTTCACTTCTTTGTCCCATACCAGGTGTCCATGTGCCCCTTCCTCTGGCCTGGGAGCTCCCAGGTTCCCAGACAGGGTGTTGCCCAAAGGCAAGAGGCGCAGAGGCTCCATCCTCAGCCCCTCCCACCTTTGTATCCAGGCTGGGTTCCCTCTGGCAGGGCTGGTGTCTCTGTCTTCTGACTGGGAACGTTTGCCAGGTAGGCGCATCTTAGCCGTTTGTGGAGCATGCTCAGACCTGTGGTGCCCTTGAGTCTCCGTTTGACTTAGGGTGGTTCCAGGGAGGGAAGGACTGCCTTTGGGTGCTGATGAACAGCAAAGGAGACAGGAAACATGCTGAGAGCAAACAGGGTGGGGGTATCTTTTGGGATGTGGCCTTGCCATCCAATGAAGAAATGGATGGAGGCAAAAGTGGGTATTGGCGGAATGAGTGATAGCAGGAACTCACATCTCATACGTCTGTCCTTAGTACCCACCCCAGGTCCCCCCAGAGGAGAATGATAAACATTTGTTCAATCGTGTGTTGGGCATCTACTGTTGATCCGGCCTTATTGTAGGCGCTGGAAACACAGCAGTGAACAGGACAGAAATCTTTTTGCAGTGGATGTTTATTGCAGCCACGTTCACCAAGATGGTGTCTTTTAATACTCTCAGCAACTTAATAACCCACGAACCCGTTTTGCTGGTTAAAAAAATCTACTGGAAGGTGAAGCGTCCTGCCCCAAATTTTGCAGCTAGGAGGCTGAGGCACAGAGGGTTAAGTGCCTTTCCCAGGGTTACACAGCCGTTAAGTGATGGAGCTGAGCCCCTGAACCCGGGCTTAAGAGGGAGCGGGAGGAGGGTAAGAGGGTGGCTAAGAGCCGCTGTGGGCTCCACCCTGTCCACTCCAGCCGCTAATGGTAGGATCCAGTCTCTCGCTTGGCCACGAGGGGGCGCCAGCCAGCCTCGCCCGCAAGCGGAGTAGCTGCTCGGCCTCCTCCCGCAGGAATGCCGGGCGCAGGGCGGGGACGCTGGCCGCACGCCCAGAGCAGCTGCTGCCGCCGCTCAGACTCTGCCAGCCTCCCTGTCCCTGGAAGCCCGGGTTTGTAGCGCGGAGGCCGAGGCCGAGGCCGACGACGAGGCCAAAGCTGGGTAGGAGGAGCGGCCTCGCGGGGATGCATGGCCTCTGTTTTCGCTGCTGCCGCCTCCTCCTCCAAGGCTTCCAGCAGAGGCTTCCTAGGAAAGGCTGGGCTAGACCCAGGAGGCAAGGAATAACACAAAAATCTGTCACTTCTGAAACAGTTATTAAGTTCTGGCTCCTAGTAGAGACCTTCTCTCCAGCAAAGCCTCTATTTTACAGATGAGGGAACTGAGGCTCAGAGAAGTACCCTTTCTGTGTCAGGTAGGAGGTGTGCAGAGCGTCTTAGCTTGGAGGTGCCCAACTTAGTCACTTCCAGTCCCAGCTCAGGCTCTTCCCGTCATTTCTCGGCTCCCGAGGGCTTCTAATCACCCCACTTGTTTTCCCCAAGGCTTCAGGGACTGGCCAAAAGCCCCGTGAAATGACAGCGATATCTGCCCCTGGAGGTCACAGCCTGATCAAAGGGAACTACCCAGGAAACGGGCGAGGGTGAAGGCCTGGAGGAGCCTCCTAACCCAACTAGCCTGAGGAGTCAAGGACGCCTTCCCCAAGGAAGTCATATTTCCACTGAGACCTGACAGTGTTAGCGGAGTAAGAGTAATCAGGTGAAGGGTCCGGGGTGGGAGAGAGAAGTCAGTTTTGTTTGTGGGAGAGAGAAGCCTGTGCAAAGACCTGGAAGAAAGATGGAGCATGGAGGTCCAGGGAGCAGAAAGAGATCTTTCAATCCTTCTTATTAGGTCAAAGAGCGTCTCACTTTAATGCATTAATTTACCCACCTGCTCATTCACTGATCAGATATTGGGGTGTCTGTCATGTGCCACATACTGCTGTCGGGGCTGGGGATGCTCTAAGCAGACAGACAACAATCTCCTCCCCATGAGGCTGGCATTCTAGTGGGTGGAGATGGGCAAGAGGCAGACCATAGCATGTCACTGTAGCATATGTCGGTGAGGTGAGATGCAGCAGTTGAAGGGGACAGAGTGATGGCGTACGATCTTGTGGTGATCAGGGAGGACCTCTCGGAGACGGTGACATGTGAGCACCGAAAGGAGATGAAGCGGGGAGCCCCATGTCTGTCTGGGGAAAGCTTTCCAGGCAGAGGGAACAACAAGGGCAAAGGCCCTGAGGTGGGAGTGTGCGAGGCGCGTTTAAGGAACAGCAAGGAGGCCAGTGTTCCTGGAATGACGTGGGTGAGGGGGAGAGAGTGGGAGATAATTTGAGAGGTGTATTCGGGGGTGAGCTCGTGGAGGAGGCCTGACAGCGGGTAACTTGACTCTAAGAGAGGAAACCATTGGAGGGTTTTGAAAAGGGGAGCGACGTTATCTTTCTGTTTTTATAGAATCATTTTGGGTGTGTCCTTTGTTACTATGATTTGAAATCCCAAATCCATCCGGACAGGGCCTGTGGCATCAATTGTTGTTCACCTACACAACGGACTACACGGCAGCCCGGCAAAAGGCTGCGGGAGCCCGCTGGGACTGGCGTGAGAAATGTCTAAGCCACAGTGTTCGGGAGGGGGCTGGAGTTCCCAGCAGCGTGTGTAGTACGCTGCTCTCTGTGAAAGAGCAAAAAAGGATCTGTTCAGTTTTTCCATTAAAATACTTATTTTAAAAATTGTGATAAAATATGCACTACATAACGTTTCTCATTTTAACCGTTCTTAAGTGCACAGCTCAGCGGCATTGAGCACATTCACGTTGTTACACAAGCATCCTCACCACCCGTCTCCAGAACTTTTCCATCTTCCCAAACCGAACCTCTGTCCCCATTAGACACTAACACCCACCGCCCAGCCCCTGACTCCCACCCTCTACTCTCTGTCTCTATGAATTTGACCCCTATAGGGACCTCCTGTAAGTGGGGTCACACAGTGTTTGTCCTTTTGTACCTGGCTTACTTCCCTGAGCATAATGTCTTCACGGTTTTTCCATGTTGTAAGAAAGGGTGTCCTTTTTTTTTTTTTTTTCCAAGGCTGAATGGCATCCCTTTGCGTGTGTGTATATACCACAGTTTATCCATTCATCGTTTCTTTTTTTCTTTTCCTTGCACAATGAGAAAGAAAATCTGGATAGATAACTCCAGCAAGTTATAGCAGGCAGGGGTGAGGGATCAGGAATTGGGCAGCTGACAACGGAATTGTTTTTAAAAACATCTCTTAATTATTTTTTTAAAAAACATTGTGAGCATTTTATGTATTCAGAAGATTTTTTTAAGGACCCTCTGGGCTGTTAGGTGGAGGCTGGGTTGCGGGGGGCAAATGCGGGGGCAGCGGGGCTATGGGCCGGTGCAATACTGCAAGTGAGAAATGGCGGTGTCTGGGCCAGTGTTGGGCCAGAAGGTGTGCTGAGGTGGTTGGCTCTGAATATACTTTGCAGGCCAAGTGCTCAAGTGCAGGATAAGTGGTTGGCCCCTGATAGGTTGGCTGCGAAGTGTGGCAGAGGAGAGTTAGTGATGACTCCAGATTTTTGGCCTGAGCCTCTAGAAGAGGTGTCCAATCTCTTGACGTCTCTGGGCCACACTGGAAGAAGAAGAGTTGTCTTGGGCCACACATTAAGTGCACTGTGACACATAATCACAAAAAAATCTTACAATGTTTTAAGTAAATTTATAATTTTGTGTTGGGCTGCGTTCATAGCTGTCCTGAGCCTCGTGTGGCCTGTGGGCCCAGGCTGGACACCCCTGCCACAGGACCAGGCTTGTCTTTGTTAAGGTGAGGAAGACCGGGGGTGGGGTATGAGGGCTGAAATAAAGAGGCAAGTGTTAGAGGGTCCTGAACACCTTTTGAACTTCCGTCAATCTCTGTTGGTCTCCAGGGTACACTAGAAAATAGCAAAAGCATCCAATGAGATTTAATAATCCAGCTCTCCCACGCCCACTGCATTTATTTTTATAGTTGCCATGTGGATTGGTGGTGATCCTTCCTTAAATGCATCAGAAGCTGACTCAGGGTGATTTAAGCCACACAGGAATTTATGGGGTGGACAATGGGGGCTCATGCAATCATTAGCCCTGGAAAATGAGAAGAAGCAGAGGGGGGGGTGCAGGGCAGCAGCTCAGGGGGATAGGCACCCGGGGCTTTCTCCTCCCACCCTCTGATCTCCCGGTGATCCTTCCCATTGGCTGAACCCAACACAACCGGAAGCCAAAGGTAGAGGCACTTGGCTGATGCAATCCTTGGGTGAGCCTCCTGGGGCAATCCAAAGACTTCCTGCATATGTGCGCTTCATATATTCTTTTAGAACATTAATTTAATTTCTACATTGAGCTGTAATTCATGTACTTTGAAATTTGCCATTTTAAAGTGCCCGATTCCGCAGGGGTTGTTGGTATATTCACAATTTTATTCAGTTCTCACACCCGTCACCATGATCTGATTTCACATATTCTTTGGCAGGCATTCCAATATCATTTCAAAAATCCAATAAGGGGGAGGGGAGGGGAGGATTAATTTGACAAAGCGTACTAAGGAGCCCCATTATGCCTCAAACAAATCTCTTCCTAGGGCCCCAGACTCAGTGTTCCTTTTTCTAAGTCACTAGAGATCCCTGCATAACTGAGTTGGACAGCCTTAGACTTGATTCCTACCCCTCTCTTCTGCTCCTGACAACCTTGGCTTCTTCATTTATGAAATGAGTGGGGGAGGGGTCTGAGTGTCTCCATCTCAATAGGCTGTAGAGCAAACATGAATTAAAAAACAACAACAACTTTGCCTGGAGACTGCCATTCCCAGGTGGCAGTTGAACCTGAACCACAACAAAAATTCCAGCTGAAGCGTAACAGTGCAGGGGTCTCTTCCTGTCTTTTCAGCACTGTCATCGCTAACCCTGCTTCCTAGAGGATGAGACCAGAGGAGTCACCGCCCGGAGTCACCCAGTGAAAAAGAGGCGGAGCCAGCATTTACACCCAGAGTCCATTTGCATCCGAGTCCCGGGAGGAGGGCCGAGGAACCTGAGGACGCTTGTGGAGGGCTCGGGCGGAACCCCTGCTGCTTTTTAAGTAACTTTGCTTGTGGTAAAAATATGCGTAGCACAAAGTTTGCCATCTTAACATTTTTAGATGTCCATTTCATTGCGGTTAAGTGCATTCACATTGTCCTGTTCCTGTCACCACCATCTCTCTCCAGAGCTCTTTGTCTTGCAAAACTGAAATTCTTTCCCAATAAACACTAACTCCCGCAGCCCTCCCTCCAGCCCCTGGCGCCCACCGTTCCGCTTTATGTCTCTATGAGTGTGCCCACTCTGGGGGCCTCATATAAGCGGAATCACACAGTATTTGCCTTCTTGTGATGGGCCTATTTCACTGGGCGTAATGTCCTCAAGTCCCATCCACGGCGTTCCATGTGTCAGAACTGCCTTTCTTTTTAAGTTTGAATAACATTCTGTTGTATGGATGGGCCACATTTCGTTCACCCATCCATCCGCTGATGGACACTTGAGCTGCTGTTTTGAACCAAGCTGCTATGACCATGGGTGTGCAGATATCTCTTGGAGATTCTGTTTCTAATCCTTTTGGATAATACCCAGAAATGAATTGCTGGATCGTATCATAATTCTGTTTCATTTTTCAAGGAATTGCCATAATGTTTTTCATAGAGGTGACGCTATTTTACATTCTCACCAACAATGCACAAGGGTTCCAATTTCTCTATATCCTTGCCAAAGCTTGTTATTTTTTGTTTTAGTTATTGAGAGTAACCGTTCTAATGGGTGTGATGTGGACCCTATTGCTTTTTAATTTTTTTATTTAGACATAAATTGAGCTTTATTAAATATTTAGTATAGTTATTGCTAGTGGTTACAAATCTATATTTTATGAAAAAAATATATGTACATTGCTGTTGTGTGCACAAACGCATGTTGCTGATGGAGGGTGTGTGGCCAGGAATGTTTGGAGACCCCCTAGTCAACCCAGCTCTACGCATGCATGTGTGGGGGAGGAGGGTGATAGAGGTGTTTGGATCATTCCTGTATTCCCAGACCCAAGATCCAGTCTGTCTCCCTCTTCAATGTCCACGGACAATGCCTCTTCCTCCTCTCTGCCCCAGTCCTGACCACGGTGGGGGCGGGTCCTGTGCCTGGAGACTGCGCAATGCCCATGTGCAGAGCTGGTCAGGCAGCATTTGTTGAATGATAGAATGAATGAATGGCCGGTATGCCCTCTGATCTGGGTGTGGACTGAAGAGGTCTGGCTGTTCAGCAGTGGGGAGGGTTGGGCGAGGCTCACCGGGGTCTTACCCGGGCGCCCCAGCAGCCGCAGGCCAGGCAGCGGAGGCCACGGCTGAGGAGGCGCGGCCAGCGAAAGAGCAGGCGGTGGGCCGTTCGCACGTACAGGCTGCCCGAGGGGTCGGCGGCTTTGAGCGCGGTCAGGGGCGAGTAGCGGGCGTTGGTCTGTCTGCGCAGGGGTGGGCTGGCCGAGCTGATGACCTTGACAATAACCTGTGAGGTGGAGCCCTGAGCCCGGGGTCTCAAGGACACGAGTTTTGTGGGGGAGGGGGCCCCTAAATACCTAAGCCATGTCTTGGGGCTCAGGGCCCCCACTCACCTGGGCCACGGCCTGTGGGCTCTGCCCTACAGACATAAAGAGCTCCCTGGAGGCCGGGAGGTAGAGATCCCGGAAGCAGTGCAGGGTGTCGGGGTCAGTGCCTGGGAACTCGACCGCGGACACCTGCTCCAGCAGCTTCCCTTCAAAGTCGGTGGCCACTGGGCCGGGTTCCACCAGAGAGATGCTGGGGGCGGGATGGGCACGGAGCCTGGTGCCCCAGCACACTCACGCCCCGTTTTGCTCATTACTGTCCCTCTTTCCTTTTCACCCCCTCGTTTCCCCCATCATCATTGCATTCCTCCCTGTTGCCCCATCTCCTCCATTTCCCCCATTTCCTTGTCTGCCCCACCACGGCCTCCATTCCCCGCTCCCTGTCGCCACCCCCCACCCCCGCCCAGTGTCTGCCTCACAAGATGTTGAACTGGAGCAGCTGGATGGCCAGACTCTCGAAGAATCCTTCCAGGGCAAACTTGGAGGCTGCGTAGACGTCATTGAACATGACACCTGAGAGGATGGGAGGAAGGTGGGCCCTTTGGGGGCCTGGATGATGGTTTTAATGGGTCCAGGGTGGAGTCTTTGGGAGACAGAACAAAGAGGGTTTGAGGACTGGAATGAGGAGCTCCCTGGGTGCTGGGTGTATGGCATTGTGTGATGGGAGCGTGGGGGTCAGGATGAGGTTGCCTTGAGGTTCCAGGTGCCACTTCTTCCCAGCAGTATGCCATCTGCCCTCAGCCCAGGGATGTCCCTTACTTCCTTTCATCCACTAATCTCCTGAGGGCTACTTGGATCTGGGGGTCTCCAGGGCTGCTGAGGGCAAGTCCTGTTCAGCTGGGTCCTTATCAGTCCTGTTGAGCAATGAATGTGGCTGGGTGAGGGGCCAAAAGGGTGAGCAAAGTAAATGCACCTTCTCTGTGGTGAGAAAATAAATAGGGTGGATTCCTTAGGGGACAGCTGGTCGGGGCAGATCCGAGGAAATGTCCAGGGGGAGCGAGGGAGTCTAGAGGGGTTCAAGGAGAGGAGACCCAAGAGCATGGATGGCAAGTAGGTGGCTTCCACAGCAGGCCCAAGGCAGACACCACTAGTCGATCGCTGCCCTCTTCGCTAAGGAACATCAGAATCCCAAGTCCAGACATCTCCAGGGTCTGGTGGAGAGTGTTTGTCAAGGAGCAATGTCAGGAGAAGGAGTTCTGATGGGTTTTTTTGGATTTTGGGGGACGGTTGGGAGAGATTTTTGGAGATGTTCAGAAGTGGGGTTGATGCTGGGTTGCAGTAGGCCACTGGCACTGGCTACTCCCGCACCATGGCATACAGAGGTAATCTATCCCAGAACTTTTCCTTCCAAGCTTCAGAATCCTTCTCAACACTGGCTCATTTGGAATATGAACTAAAACCTATTTGCCACCCTTCTAGCTGGTGGGGGCAGAGTCTGTGAGGATTCCCAGGAGTGGGCCTCGAGCTTACCCTGCAGCCCCATGACACTGCTGACCACCACAATGTGGCCCTGTCGCCTTCTCTTCATGCCAGGAAGCACAGCTTTGACCAGACGAACAGCTCCGAAAAAGTTGGTGTCAAAGACCCTCTGCATGGTGGCCAGGCCGAGCCCCTCCACGGGCCCCACCAGGCCCACTCCAGCATTATTCACTAGGGGAGAGGTGCCGAGGGTTACTTTGAAGTCCCCTCTAGTGTCCCTCCTCCAGGGACACTCCCTGAATCACTCCACCCGCTCACTCAGAATCCAGGATCAGTTCCGGGTATCTTGGGTGGACAAATGTGGAACCTTGATGCTATTTACAAATAATTCAACATTTGTTATAGGGGACCCTTAGCGTGGGTGGGGGAAGGGCTACCAGGAACAACCTCCCCTTTAATGTGTGAGCAATTCAGCTCTGACCCCAAATTGCAGCAAACTAGCCACAACCACCCTCCTTAGAAGGTTATTAAGGAACCATAATTTTTTCCTTCATCATGCGTCCTCCCCCAAATGACTCACCAAAGTAATTTTCCCAATCACATATGATTTTCTCCATATGTGAGAAGCTTTCTTCCATAAAACCTCCCTAACCCCAGGTTTCCGTTTATTTCTTGTATCCCTAATAACCTGATGGGCACCTTGGGCTCTTGGCCAGCTCGTCTACCCCTTGTGTTCAGGGTGAGAGGGTGGCGGTGAAGCAAGAGAGCTGGTGCCCACACCCCAGAGGGCCTTGCTGGGGTGAGGATCTGGGCTTCGGCAGGGAGGGGTGAGTGACCCCCGGGGCTTCTCAGTCTCACCCAGCACGTCCACTTCTCCTCCCCGGATGCAGCTGAGACATTGGGCTACTGACTCGTCGCTGCACACGTCCAGCTGGGCCACGGTGAGCGTCTGACCCAGAGCCTCCCCGGCAGCTGCCTCCAGTGTCCCCTTCTTTCCCAGATCTCTCATGGTGGCCACCACTGGGGACAGAGAGCAGTGGGGACAGGCGCTGGCTCCTTTCCCCATGTATGGACTGGCACGTTTCTGTGATCTTGCCTGAGCCATCACAGAAGCATGGAGACCCACATGTTTACACACCTACATTCACTGAGCACCCACAAATGGACACTTGTGTACATATCTTTACATGTTTATCCATGTTTACATGTTTACCCATACCACATGTTTATTGAGCATTTAGCACCTACCATGTCCTATTCTAGGTGCTGAAGCTATTGCAGAAAATAAGATAAAGCCCATGCCTTCCTGGAATTCACAGTCTAGTAGGTCAGACAATAAAATAAATACAAAACAGATTGCCTTGAGAAAACAAATGCATATACACCTAGGATAAATATATGTGCTATGTGCGCATGCAAGTATGAACAGACACATTTACATCATCAACGTAAGTTCCAGCTTATTGAACATCTACTATGTGCCAGCAACCATGCTACACACTGTTACAAGCACTATCTCTAATCCTCACAAGAACCCTGTGATTAGGTCACTGGCTTATTTTCCAGAGACGGCTGCATCTTTCATTGCATATGCTCTTCTCGAACCTTGCTGCTCCCCCATCAAAACATGAAATCTCCCCCCACCTTTGAACCCTGCAGCTCACTGTGAAGCATAATAATATATGGGGGGAGTGCTGTTGTGTGGCTCTGAGATTAGGCCAGGAAACGTGCTGCTGCTCTAGCTTGTCTGCGGGACACTCGCACCTGATGCCGTCGGCCCGAGGCCACAGGGTTGGGAAGAAACCCAAGCTACCGCAGAGAGGGAGGCCCCACGGGGAAGCGCTGAGGTTCCGGACAGGGAGAGAGATGCTTGTCCCAACCCCGCCATGGTCCAGCCTCCTCTCTTCTACTTCTAGCCTTTGAGCCTGAGTCAGAACCGCCCCGCTGAACCCTTCTGAATTCATGGCCTTTGTAAACTGTGAGAGAAATGCTTATAGTGTTTTGCACCATAAATTTTGAGGGTGATTTGTTTAGCAATGGTAACCAGACAGGTAGATAAAGTGTTCCCCATCATACAGATTAACTAACTATGTGACATTCCTGGTCTGTCCCAACAATAGCTAATGTTAGAACTGAGATTTGAACCTGGGCTTATCAGAGTGCTGAGCTCACACACCTGTATATGATTGTACCCCCCATGTATGCACCCCCAATGACACATGCATGTTCCTACGGGGCATTTACATATGGCCTGTGGGCCTGTGTGGTTCATGGGTGCTGCACGGAAGAATGGGGCCACATGCATCCACAAACAGTATAGAGACAAGTGTGGGCCCAGGGGCTGGGCTGCCTGGGTTCAAATCCAGGCTCTGGCACTTTCTATCTGGGTGACCCCGAGCATGAACCTTTGGCAAGTTGTTCCTCAGTTTCCTCATTTCTAAGATTGGGCAAATGATAGCAGCCACCTCATAAGGGTGATGTGGGGATCAAATATCTAACTAGATGCAAAACACTTAGCCTGCTACATTGTAAACACTGAATAAACCTCATCTTTTAGCAGTTTTATACACTTGTCTGCCTGCCACAGACACACAGAGCACAGTGACCTTCCTGCATACAGGCATTCAGGGTATCACATCCGAAGCTGTGCATGTGTCTAAGACAGAGGGTGGAGGGCCGGGAGGAGCAGCTCTGCCAACTGGGACAATGCAGCCTCCTCTTAAGCAATGGCCCTTTGCCCACTTTGACTGCAGCCTGCTCTGGGTCAGAGGTCTCTCCATGGGTGGGGTGCAGACTGGGGCAATTGACTCCAGAATTGCAGGAGGCCAAGTCCCTAGGCCTGGAGGACTCCTGGAACCGGCAAGGTCAGATTCACTTAGGAGGCTTATCTTGGAGCAGTAATCTGGGGAGGGGGGGCGGGGGGGAGCCCCAGGGAATGCCTGAGGGAAGCCTTCCTGACCAGCCCTTCTAAAACCATCACCCACCCCGACGTCCCCCTTGCTTTATTTTGCTCTCAGCGCTATGCATATTATAAAAATGTAAAGTCTGTTTATTGTCTGTCCTCCTTCCCCTCCCCCACTACACCTCTAATTGAGGCAGAGATTTAGGTCTGTTTTGTTCACAGCTGTATTTCCAGCACCTAGAACAGTGCCTGGCACCCAGCAGGTGCTCAGGAAACACTCACAAGGGGAGGGGATGATTCACGAGGAGACGTGGCGAGGGGGCCTCCACTTGTCGGGTCGTCCCCAAGCCCACAAATGCAGCCGGAAGGGAAGGGCTGGTGGAAATAGTGCTGAGGGGGCTGAGGGTCCTGGAGGCCGTGCCCGCCCCTCCCCCTCTCAGTCCCGCCCTGGGCCCCTTACCCTGGTAGCGCTGCCTGGGGTCACGAGCCAGCTGCACTGCAAGCTCCAGCCCGATTCCGGACGAGCAGCCTGAGATCAGTACAGTCCGGGCACGATCGGCCATGATGATCCCTCCCTGGGCGCATGACCTCTGCTGGCCAGCTCCCGACTCCTGCCACCTGTTGTCCTGGACGCCCTCCAAACTGATCCCTGGCAGGGCAAAGGGCTCCCTCGAACCCCTGATTCTGAACTCGCCAAGGACAGGCAGCTGGGGGGAGCTCCTTAACCCCAATACACTCTCTTATCTGTCAAAAATGCCTTCTCACTGCTACACTTATAACTGGGGGCTTTTCATTATGACTGTCACTTATTCGGGGCTGGGGGGAGTGTCAGGCAGCCCAGGGAGTCAGCAGTGGCATCCCCGCGCTGTCTCTGCTCCGGGCAAAGAATCTTTGATTGGAGGGAGAGAGAAAGGTGACGGAGCATGGTCCCAGAAGGGCCCTTTTAAACGGGTACCGAAATGTCAGAAGACAGGGTTAAATGTAGCAGGAACTTCACGCAGGGCAGAGCAGAGAAGGAACTTTATGAGAATCTTTTAGCTGGAGAGGTCTCACCCTCAGATGTCCCTGGGGAGGGGGGAGGAACAGCTTGGGGAGATTCCCTCTGCTCCCCCCAATGCTGGGAACCCCCGTCTCCCTCTCAGGCCAGATGGGGCCCCACCCTCTCCTCTCCAGGGACACAGAGACTCTTTGTCTTTGAGGAGCCAGAGGCTGGGAGGGAGGCACTGCTGGCTTCTCTCTCTTGGTGGTGAGGGGGTAGGTCAGGGCCCAGGATACAGCCCTTGGGTCCCTCCCTGTGGAAGCTTTCTCAGATCCCACATGTCTGCTCTTGTCCAATGGCACAGGCAGCCCCATCTGGCCCCCGGGGCCTCCGCACACTGGGGAGTCCCAAGGGGATGAGGGGGGCTCTGCCTTGCTCCAGCCTGTGTCAGTGCCCTGCTTTGCAGTAGAGCCGGGCTCCCCCATTTAATGGGGGTATGTGTGAGGGTTTGGGATTGGGGCCGGGGACCCATTTGGGGAACTGAGTTGGGGAGAAGAGGCCTAGGGAGAGAGGAGGGACCTTCCATTTGAAGATTAAGCGTTTGAGGGAAATCCAGACTGGTGCTTAGGAGTCTGTGCTGAGGGTTGTGGGTGGGGCCAGGACGTCCAATTCTGGGCTTTAGGTGGATAGACGAAGGTTTGGGGCAAGTCTGGGAACTTCATTTTGGAATCTGGGGTGAGACCTGAGATGGGAAGAGGATCCCTTATTTAGGGGCCTGAAGGGAAAGTGTTGGGGTGAGGCGGTACCTCTTCTGAGGGGCTAAGCGATTGGGGTGAGGCAGGTCGGCCAGAGTTTGGTGTCAGGCTGAAACCCCACTGAGGGGCCCTCGGTGGCCCGGGAAGAATTTGGAATAAAGCTGTACCCTTAATACTAGGGCCTGGACGGAGGCTGAAGTCTGAATGAGGCTAAGATCTCCTTTGAGGGAGTCTGTTAGGAGGAAAGGTTTGGGGTAAACCTGGAACCCCAAATTCTAAGGCTGGGTGAGGGTGACCCTTCTCCTCCAGGGTGGGGTGGGGCGGGGCAGGGAGGGCCCAGCGCCCGCTCCACCCCAGCTGACCAATCAGCGCTCAGCACAAACTTTCCCAACTCCCCCTCCAGCTGTCAGCCGGCCCCCCTCCCGAGAGGCCCGCCTGGCCGGGAGCTGGAGCGCAGGGCGAGGCCAGGGCGGGGTCTCGAGCAGTCTCCTGACGGTCCCGAGTGGAGCTGGCCGCCGCGAGTGCGTGCGCCGAGCCGCGGAGCCGCCACTCCCCGCAGCCGCCCCGGCCAGTCCCCTACCCTGCGCGCGGGCCCCGCCGGGATGGGAGGCTGTCGCGGCCTCGGCCAGCCGCGGGCCGGCCTCTGCCTGCTCCTGGCCTTGCTGCAGCTTCTGCCCCGGACACAGGCCGGTGAGTCGGGAGGGAGGACACAGGACTCGGAGAGGAGGATCCAGTGGGGCGCCCAGACTCAGGGTGGAGTCAGGAAAGGCGGGCAGCGTCCGCGTTGCGCGCGGCTGCCGTGCGCTAGCGTCCGGCCGTGGGAGGTTTGCGGGTGCGACAGCTGGCGGTGGGGCGAGGAAACGTGTGGCCGCGTTTTACTAGTGGGTGAATTGGAATGAATGCAATTTGTAGGTGTGCGTGCGCGTGAGTGTGGTAACGTGTGCCTGGGCACTTGGAGTAAACTTGTGTGTGTGCGTGAGCGCCGGAATTGACCACGGGTGCACGGGTACGCGCGACGGGCTGACCTCCGAGTGACTGTGGGACTGTCAGTTGTAGAAGCGCAAGTGTGTCTGCGTGTGTGCGGAGAGGGCGGATTTTGAGAACAATCATGTGTGTTACGCCTTCTGATAGCGGGTTTCTGGGTGATGCTCTGAGGGGTGCGAGGGTGATTTTGGGGTGTAAATAATTGCCCGTGAGGAAGCGATGATGAGTGGGGCGAGTACGGGAGAGGCCGAGTCGGAGAGTCACACCTACCTTTGCGTCTCCCCAAATAGCTCTACTGTACTCTCCCTCTTCCTCCTCTGCGCCCAAGGGTCGCGCGACCACCTCCTCGCCCCGACCTCCTCCCCCCCTCGCCGCACGCCCGGAGCCGGGATCAGCACCATGGACAGGGCCGCGGCGAGGGGCGAGGCGGGGCGGGGCGGGGGCGGGGCGGGGCGGGGCGGAGGGCGGGCGGGGGCCCGAGTGGTAGCTGCTCCCCACCCCAGCTGAGCGAGCCTCGGGTGTTTTTCCCGAGGAATTTCTCAGGAGCACCCCCAAGGGTCCCGGGGGCCGCCGGACGGGTGAGTCAGCGGCTGACGCACGCCCAGCTGCGCGCATCTGGCTGGATGCCGCGCCCCCCCCACCACGCAGGGTTCCGGGTGCCGGGCACCGGCGTTTGGGTTTGGGAAGATTATGGTCCCTCGAGTAGTGGTAGAGAGGGCTTCCTTGGTCTGAGAGACCCCAGGCCAGGCCCTCTTGGAAATCCTTCCCTAAGGTAAGCTCAACCTCCCAACACACACACACACACACACACCCCACTTTCTCACTTTTTCACTTTCTCTGAGGTCCAGGGAGGTGCCTGCTCACGTGGGTAATCCCGGATTGGCCTATGCCCCATTCCCACGCTCACACATCCACACAGCCCTACGATCTCAGGCAATTATTCAGAACACAAGCCCTTGGGACACCAGGAATGTTAAACACCGGTGCCCACGCCCAGGCAGCCCCCCTGGCCACCTGCCACACCGTGACTGCTTTTGTCCCCCTCCTACACTTTCAGACTCTCACATAGGCTTCCACTGGCATTCCTACAACACCGTCAACATTCGCAGCCAGCCACGCACTCAGTGACGTGGCCACGCCCCCACGCATGACCACGGTGCCCCAACTCGAGTCTCAGCTGCTCTGGCCCCGCACTCACCTGTGTGACCTCACTGCCAAGACTCCGACTCACACGGACACGCAGCCGCACATCCAAGAGCTGAACCCAGTCTGTCCATTGTAGGCCAGATGCACACGCTGACACACCGCAGATGGCACTCTGAGACGTTCTCTGGCTCATTTGAGGTCACACATATGCACAATCTCATGCACGTGTGCCACTGCACCTGTGCACACTTGCACAGACATTCACACCTGTGCTCCCCTACACTTCTGAGGTGCCCCAGCCAGGGGGCAGCCTGGTCTCTGCTTGCCTCCCTCCACATCTGCCACCCAACCCAAGGCCTCCCTGGGCCCTGCCCCCCTCCACAGGGCAGAGTCTGTGCGGGAAGGGTGGGCTGGGTCCTTGACAGACCTCCACCCCCTAACCCTGCAGGCAAGACTCAATGCCTCTTGTGTGTCTTCTTGTCACAAAGCCAGTCACGAAAAGAAAGGGCAGTCAGTTTTTGAAAGGTCATTTAAGAAGGGCTGCAAGATTGAAGCAAAAGACATTTGAGTTAGATAGTGGGAAAGAATTTTTAAAAATTTATCGATGAGAGAGAGACATCAATTTGTTGTTCCACTTATTCAGGCATTCATTCACCAGTTGATTCTTGTACATGCCCTGACTGAGCATTGAGCCTGCAACCTTGGGACAACGCTATAGCCAACCGAGCTGTGCCGCCAGGGCTGGGACTTTTTCAACGTGAACGAACAGTTGGTCGAGAGGAGGTTTTTTCCCACTGCAGAGACTGGGGACTGGATGAGGGGAGAGCCTGGGAGAGTCACACTGTGTGGGGTCATGGATCTCAGCTCTCCCCAGGGTCCCAGCCTGGAGGGGGGCAACCGGGACGGTCATTCCATGTGGGAGTGACCCTTGCGGTTAGCAGAGCCTGGGAGCCCAGATCTTAGCCCTGGGAGTCTGTAACCCAAATACCTCTTAATGACAGTCCAGCCACAGAACTGGCAATTAGAGATAGGGTGGTGATAATGGCAGGGTTGGGGGCGGGGCATATGGAAAGAGTAGTTCACACAGAGATACAGAGAGAGAAAGGCACTGAGACAGAGACATTCAGAGAGAGAGAGATGGGAGAACAAATAAAATATCAAGAGACAGAGAGAGAGAGATGGGAGGGGGAGGGAGAAAGGGGCAGGGAGACTGATTCAGAGCTGGACATGGAGAGAGACCTGGAAAGACCTAGACAGAAAGTGGGACAGAGAGAGGGCGGGGCGGGGGAGAGAAGGAAGAAAGGGAAGAAAGAGCAGAAGGAGACTGGGGGCAGGAGGGAGCTGGGGCTGAGACGGGCTCTATAGAGTCTGGAGAGCTAAGAGTATGGCCCAGCAGGAGCTGGGAGGGGGTCCCTCATCCAAGCCCCTATCTCCCCCAAGCCTGGCCCCCTACCCTGACTTCCAATAGTGAGGTCAGCAGAGCCGCCCCCAGGGTGAGGTCATGGGCAGATCCAGTAGAATCTGGCTCCTGCCAAGAGGCCGGGTCAGGGGGTCAGTGAGACGTCTGCTGGGGGGATGGAGAGGAGGGAAGAAGATCAAGCAGGGGCTTTGGGTCCAGGGGCAGCCCCCGCCCACCCCTGCCCCAGCCATGTGGTTCCACTTAGTGCTGGCCAGCCTGGGCTGCATGGGTGGGGCTGGT